TGCGTCGATTTCGGGCAGACACCTGTCAAGTTGCATGTTGCATTTTTTTGCGCTCGCCAAGTTGAAGAGGCTATGGCTGGCCCCTCCATCGACGAACATTTTCAAATGATGTTTCCCCACCTTGCCAGCGACCAGCACAGGGTGATCCACATGATTATCCCCGTTATTCGGCCGAGTGCGATCGATTGCATGAATCGGAACCACGACTCGGTGGGGATGGTGGTGTTCGGGCGACGGAGCACAGTCAGTAAAGGGCCCGCTACTTACTGACTCTTCCCATTTCCCTGCTCCTTCCTGTCGTTCTCTGTCAGCGGCATTTTCTCCTTGCATTCGTTCTTCCAGTGACCCACCTTCCCACACCGGAAACACTGACCCTTAGGAGGGCGGTCGGGTGTATGGACGGCGTTGATTGTGGCCCGATGGGTCTGGCCACGAAAACCTCTCCCATCCCTGGAAGCTATTCTCGCGTACTGCATCAGCGCATCCGTTGACTCTGCCACGCGTACTGCTTCGAGGAACGATGTCGGGCGGCTGCGGCGAACTTCGAACTGTATCTCGTACTTAAGGCCGCTCACGTATTTATCCAACCGCTCAGCTTCCGACATGTCATCGATTTGGTCGGCGAAGCCCATAAATGACGCCGTGTAGTCTTGGACAGATCCCATCTGCGACCATGCACGCAGCTTCATGCGAGCTTGCTCCGAGGCGGATACGTGCTCGAAGCGATTCCGTAAGGCTGCGCCCCACTCCTTCCATGTGCGTATCTTGGTCACACCGAAGATCGGTTCTGCAACTTGATTAACCACTGTAGAGGTCCCGTCTGCCGCATGTGTCACACCTGTCGACGTCCCTGTTTCCAAGGTCCGGCGCCACCATTCAAGTGCTGCACCTCGAAGAAGCGAGACTGCGTAATTAATGCGCGTGGCATCGTCATTAACTCCGGCTGCAGTGAAGAAGACTTCAACCCCGAACAGCCACCCCTTCACTGTAGTCGTCTTGTCCGTAGGATTAAACGGGGGCGGGTTGACGGGCTTGATCTTGATCGTCGTAACTGCAACTGGCGCTGCCGCCGCTCGCTGCCTATCTTCTTCTTCGAAGTCGCGTGTGAGCTCGTCCAGAGGATTGCCCATCACTTGACTGTTGCCCTCGCCTTCGTCCACAGGCGACGTCTGACGCGCTTCACCTCGCGTCCGGCGTAGCTCGGCGTTTTCCTCCTTCAGTGTTGTCACTTCCGCTTGCAGCGATTCCATGCCCCTCGCCATTTCTGCCACTTGCGCCATCAGTCGGTTAACAGCCTCCTGATCCATGTTTCTAGCACTACGTCTGGTGGGCAGTTGGGTACCCGTGGCCGCCCGGCAAGTGAAAACACGAACTATCGGAGTCGGGCAGGGTTGAGTTAACAACCTCTGCAGCCAACCGTCGTGTAGTCACTAAACCAACCACACCCTATGCCACCAAACTACCCTTGAAAAGCGGGGTGAACTAGGAAAGTAGCTCTGATACCAGGTGTTATGAGTTGTAAAAGAGAGTGCGCAGGTAAACGAATAACGAGACTGTGACTGAATGAATCTGAGAATACAATGAATGCGAGAACTAATGTAGGCTAGCCTAGCTAGGAGGAAACCTCGGACAGGCGAGGTTGGGTGCAGGTTTGGCGATGGGAATGCCGAAGGCGACGCGAGGAGCTTCGGCAGCGTGGAAATCGCCCGATCGTGCGAACTCCGAAAATCGGGTTGTACGCGCAGCAGTCAACCCCGATAAGGAATTCGAGAAAATTCCTTACATACCAACTCGCAAATTCAGCAATCGGGAATGTGGACCTCTGTATTTCAACCTGACACCTCGGGAATTCACACCTTGGGATTGCCAGTAGTTCTGGCCCGCTGCAGCTTCATAGCTCGATTGCTTGGTTCATTGACTAGACAACAATCTTTTCGCACGACTATGGCATGTAACCCGCCTATAACTTCCAAGATCCGACGACTGCTATAGTTTCTGTCGCGTAGACATGAGCGGCGAGCCGGTCACAGTCTTCGTCGCTGATGACTTGGCTCCAGCCGACGTTGAGCACTGGCTGTCGTTCGACGAAGCCGTTCTGCCTCATCCTCCGCCTTCCACCAGCGACGACCCTCACTTGCACACGCAGCTTCTCCCGGAGTTACCGTTTAGTCCTAAAGATCCTTCACTCGCTTTCTTATTAGGCGACGATGCTCCTATAGGTGATGCGGATATAGGAGACGCTAACGCAGACTATGTTCCGATACGCGATGCTCCCGCTAACCAAGCCAAAGTTAGTCCAGAATTGCGATTAAATGATTCAATCGGAGAGCTAACGGAGAGGGGGACTTTACCTGATTCGGATGGCGGAGATCCCTTACGACAAACAGACACACGCGAGGCGGGCACTGATGGTTCCGGTGGAGCAGATGCGATTTTAACAAGTTTCGCGGATTTAATCGATGCGTGGGACTCCAGCGGCGTGACCCATTGCCATGACTCTGCCACGCCCGAGGAGGTCCCGGTAGAAAGGGTTGAGTTGTTAAATCCGGAGACATGCCACATCCCGGACGCTGGAAACGATCTTCCGACTATCAATTTTGCGGCTAGCGATTCAGACGTATGCCTACCAGAGCAGGCTGGTTCGTCCACGTGGCTTCCTGATCCACCTCGGGATGCGGAGGCGGAACCACTGCAAGGTTTTCGTACCATGTCAGCATCCGTTCTCCGTGCATTGCAGCCTGACGGTTCCGGTCCGCAGGTGCTGACCTTCGAGGAAGCTTCGGAGAGGCTGTTCGCGGCGACAGCGCCAGCGAATTTGCAGAACGCGAGGGGCCGCTGGGAGCAGGCGCAGCGTGAGCAAGCACAGTGGGCGCAGCTGCTGCTGCCAGAGCAGGAGAGCGCGCCAAATCAGTTTCTGACGCCGCTGCAGCAATCGCAGCAGCAGACGCAGCAGCAGTCGCAGCAGCAAGGGCAGGATTACGATCTAGGCGAGCAGCAGCAGCCGCAGGGAGGCCCCCAGTTTAACTTACCCGCCAGCACTCCCTCCGCCATTCATGGACGTCCCTCTCCCTCCCCGCGCTCCTCCCCCGCCCAGCGCCCCTCGCCCTCCTTCGGGGGTGACATAGGAGTGGGTGGGCTCAGGGGCCCTTCCGCTGACCCGCCTTCCACTCCGCCCCCGTCCAAGCTGCCTCGGCGCCCCCCGGACCTCTCCTCCCGCCTCGCCGCCGTGCTGCAAAACATCAACCCGCCGCGCCCTGCGCCCTCCCCCTGGCAAACCTTGTCCAAGCCGGGACTTCCTTCACCTGCCACGCCCGCAGATCCCGCTGCCACTGAGTCTACCTCTGCAGCTCCATCGATCCCAATGGCACGATCATCCGCAACAGCAGCAACAACCATTCCACCACCACCAGCAACTGCAGCAACAGCGGGAGCAGCAGCGCCAGCGACAGCTACAGCAGGAGCAACAACAGCTGCAGTAGCAGCAGCAGCAGTAGAGTTAGCAGTAGCTTCCGCAGTGCCTTGCATACAGGCGCCTGAGAGCAGGCTTGTGGCTGGAGGCAGTAGGCTAGACGCGAGGGCTTTCACGGGCTCAACACTGCCCTCCTCTGCTGCTCGCACCAGCGACGCTGCTGCTTATATATATGACCAGGGAGTGCAGTGGCCAGCTTCCTTGTCGGACAGCAGTGCACTTCGCAGAATTCGCCTCAATACGGCGCAGAGCAATTTACTGAACTCTGCCCGGGAGAGCGCAGCAAGCAGGGCGACCGTCGCCCCACCCAATGTTGTTGCGTTCAGCCCCGAGAGGCCCCTGCGAGTGGATGTGTCGGGCGTGCTGCCACGGCCCATGTGTGGCGCGAGGGAGGGCATGCTGAAGCAGCAGCTCATGGCTCTCGCTGAAGCCATGGCTGTTGATGACTCGGTGCGTGGGACTCGTGTCAAGTGGTGGTGGGAGGAGGGTTGTGAACAGTCAAGAACCAGGCATGTCTTGTGCTCGTTTGCTCCTGCTGATGCATTGCTGAGCAAGAGACGCAGCGCACTAAGTTCTCTCCCTGCCCATACCCCACCACCAGGTGCGGTGGCGGCAGTTCATGCGGCAGTTACGGAGGGAGGCAGCGGCCGGGGGAGACACGCTGCAGCGCATCGCCTTCCATGCATTGGAAGCGCTGCAGTCGCGTATGGATGGCACTGCAATCACAAAATGGCGCACACCTTTGAAAGTCACCCTTCAGGTACATACCTTTCCCTCCACCTTAAGTGGATCAGTCTTCCCCCCTCTCCATCTTCCCCACTCCCCAAAATCCCGCCTCCTCACCTTCCCCACTCCCCCTTTTGATGCATACCGTGTGTCCCATGCACGTCATGTGCCCCATGCATCCCATCCATCCCATGCATCCCATCCATCCCATGCTCCCATCCATCCCATGCCCCCATACACCCCATGTTTCTCATGTGAGCAGGATTCAATGGCAGCGTTGGGCCACGGCAACGAGCGCGGGATGCCGGCATTCATGCACCTCGCCAACACTGCAGCACTGCTTGAAGTCGTCCGGGCATTCACCCACCAGCCACACGCACATACTTGCACACACCCACACCCACACGCACACCCACACACACTCTCACACGCACAGAGTTGCCCCACACACACCTCCACCTGCCACAGCCATGCTCCCCATCCCCCTGCCGCCCACCCACGCACCCCTCATGCCCCTGCTCCTCCCCCACAGCCTGCCTCTTTCCCTGCCTTTGTCGGCCAGTCTGTGCGGCGGCGGCGGCTGCACATCATAGCCTTTGGATTCTATGGCGGGCCGCACTGGATCAACATTCTCATGCGCCTCGCCGCCCACTTTGCCCCCACATCCCCCTCCCCTCCTGCTGCCACCAATGGGAGTGCACCTGTGGCAGGCAGCAATAGCTCGACCAGCAGCGGCAGCAGGAGCAGCAGCAGTGTTAGCACGCACCCCACACCTCTTTCACACGCTTCTCTTCCGGCCTGCCCCATGGTCCACGTGAGAATCACAGCCATTGATTTTGGGATCGTCAGTGTGGAGGAGTATCCAACGGGCCTGGTGCATCTGGGGGGGCAGTACCTGGAGCAGGTGGCATCTATGCTGGGCCTATCCCTGTCATTCCATGGAATTGAAACCACACCACACGACTTCCACCCATCGCAAGTGGAGGTGGATGAAGGGGAGGAGGTAGTGGTGTTGGCCAATTGGGGCCTCATGGTCTTTCCAGATGACACAGTGCTTCGCTCAAATCCCCGCAATGCCATTCTCAAGTGGATTCGGGACCTGCGCCCGCTGCTCCTCCTCCAAGTTGACATAGACCTCGATGCCAATGGGCCCTTCTTCCTCTCGCGCTTCCACGCTGCGTTTGCCAACTTTGCCGCGTTCGTTGAGTCGTTTGATGCCACCATGCCGCACTCTGCCACGCCACGTTTCGTTGTGGAAAGCATTATGGCTCGGGACTTTCTAAATGGTGTTGCATGCGAGGGCATGAACAGATGGCTGCGGGCGGAGCGACTGGAGAAATGGGTGCATCGGATGAGAGCGGTGGGGCTGGAGCCGGTGCCGATAGGGTCGGACACAGTGGCTGCTGGGAGGGAGATCACGGAGGGCAGGGATGGGCGGTTCAGGTTAGAAGTTTATGCTGAGAGTGGCGCCCTGCAGCTCAGCTGGCGTGGTGTTCCCATGATCTTCATAGCGGCCTGGAGATGAGTCTGGGATTGGCCCTTGGGAGTAAGGTCATTGTCATCCACATTTGGCAGGGCAGCAGCAAGGGCACCACTGCCAGGAAGACTGGTGGTCAGGATTCAGGTGATGCCCCCGACCCCTGAATTTTCACCCCTTTTTCTCTGTTTCTTGCGCTTGATTGTGGAATTTGCACATGCCTGTCAGTCTCCCCGTTTCCTGACTTCCTTTTCTTTCCTGACTTAGTATGTCTTCTACTTGCATGAACAGGTTTCTTATACCATACCTTCCAATTTGCTGCTGCATGTGTCCAAGCTTGTTGTAGTCCATCCCAATATTTCCAGTAAGTTAATGGCGCCGTATGGCGCCATAAAGAAGATGTCTGAGCTGCGGCCCGCCAGTCTAGTGTTGCGGTGTAGAGTTTCTGACTACTGCTCATGAATTATATATCTTGTTGGAATGCAGTGTTCACCAAAGTCTACAGTATGTTACTTGTAGAGATTGCCTCCCTCGGGGTTCGGTGTCCCTAGATCCCGCCGATTTCCGTCACTGTTGTTGGACGACGCTTCTGTCTGTCTGTCTGGTCAGTTGGACCTCGCATCGCAGTTTTCTCTTTGCTCCTGTCAAGTGGACTGTAATAGTAAGCATCCGTCCGTTCATCTCCTCTCCCCTACATACTACTGAGTAGTCTTTCCGCTGTGCGGTGACGCTCGGCTATTATGAATGGAGTCGCGATCGTCGTTTCCATCTGACCGTTCCATTCCTGCACACCTTCTCTTCTAAATTTCTCGCTAGTCTGTGTGGATTCTTCTCACTACGAGCATAGCCAGTCCTCAGCTATGCAATCTAACGTCCGCGCACCGATCTGATTCGCCGAGCCTAAGCCTCTGTAGCGCGCTTCGGTTGTAAGGGAAGGGATGGCGAAGCGCCGGTCGTCGTTTCCCATCGTGCGATGGCTGCTCATCGTCTGCGCGTTCTCCTTCGTCCTCGTTCAGGTCGGCTCGCATTGCACTCGTTCTTGTGAATCCGAATCCGATCACAGCACAGCCGACGTGTCTCAATCTCTCGATGTCATTCCAGCGATCGCTTTGTCCTAGAGCATGTATGTATGCAATCCGTCGTCGTCCCGGCCACTGCGCCAGCGTAGGTTCACCCTTTTTTCTACACACTTCCGTCTCTATCCGTCTTGTATTCCGTCAAAACCTGATTTCCGCCATGCCTATCCGTCTCGCATCTCGTCAAAACTCGTTATTTCCTGCAGATTCGGATGTTGATGGTTGGAACGGAGTGCTCGGAGCGCGTGAAGGTGCTCATGGAGGCGCAGCGCAAGTGGGCCAACGAGGCTCGCGCGCTGCGGAAGAACCTCACCGATGTCACCCGTGAGTGCCGTTGGGGCAGGCGATAACCCGTGAAAGTCACCCGTGAGTGCCGTTGGGACATGCGATAACCTGTGAGTGTAACCATGACGTGCGCTCCATGGGTAAGACTTGCCGGGGTCACCTCGCGTTTTTGCGAATCGATGTCGAGGAATATCTGTTTAACAGGGTTCTTCAACTGCACATGCTGGCATTCGAGACATTTCAGGCCAGTCTATGAACGTGATGGCACAATTCCTCTCCCACTCGCGCAGGGGACGCGATGGGGTTGGAGGAAGAGCTTGAGAAGACGCAGACAGCGTACAAGCAGGCGCGGCAAGGTGGGTAGCACAGACGCCCTTTGACTCCCCCTATAGAACGCATGGGTTCCGATGTGGGCGCAGCAGCATTAGGTGCAGGTAGGGTGGAGCGTAGGATGCCTGGGATGCCTGAGATGCTGGTCTGTATCTTTGCTGCATGTGAATCGTGCTGTAATGCTTGTTGCTCACTCCATTTTGCGCCACTTTCTATGGCTTATCACTTTGCTCACTCCACAGTGTAGCTCCCCCTCCCTGTGTCCTCATGCCTGTTGCTCCCTCTGCCTTCACCCTCCCCCCTCCCCTCCCACCCGCCTCCCTGTCTCCTGCTTGCTCTCTGCACGGCCAACACCCACTATCGACTCACTGTGTTGCTGCGCCATGCTGCCTTGGATGTGCTGCCATGCTCCATCGCATCTACCTGGGGCATCCATTGCATGCTCTGGGATCTGCGCATGTGCTGTAATGCTCGCCTGCTGCCCGCTGGCTCACCGTCTGGCCTGCTGGCTCCTGTCTATGCAGAGTTGGTGAGTTGACCTCATGTTTCTTCTGCTGGGAGGTCGTAGTGCTAGTGCCCTTGTTTCGCCCTAACGCCGAATCAATGTTGAGAGAGACATGCATTTCCGTGTCCGTGTGCAGGAAGCTGCACAGAGGAGACAGCAGCAGCAGCAAGAGCAAGGCGCGCAACAACAGCAACAGCAGAAACAAGAAGCAGCACTTGTAAAGGCAGCAACGGAAGGGCAGACAGGAGCAGGGGGAGCGGGAGGTAGCATACGAGGAGGGAAGCTGCAGGATGGGGGAGTAGTGCAGGCAGGGGGAGCAGGGGGAGCAGGGAGGATGCGGGGAGGGGGAGAGGCAAAGGATGCAGTGGCGGCTGTGGTGATCATGGCGTGCAACAGGGTGGACTACCTCGACCGCACCATTAAATCTGTGTTGCTGTGAGTACCAAAATTTGTGGTGTTTCACAGTGGAGTTTTGAGAAGTCTCACACAAAACCTAGAGATGCCACAGTCCTCATGCAGTGATGTGCCCTTCCACTCAAAGTGCTCCTTCAGTTGCCATTATTGCCTAGTAAATCTCATCCTTGTTCACTCACTGCACTCCACACTCATTCTGCTTCCTCAGCCTTGCCCGCCCTCACCATCCTGTGCTTTCTGCCCTGTCCGCATTACTCACCCTCCATGCAGGCACCACAAGGGTGCTGACAGCAAGTTCCCTCTCTTCATCTCCCAGGTGCCACATGCTCCTTGCACGGGCTTGCATGGCTTGGCATGGCATGGCATGGCATGGCATGGCTGGCATTGCATGGCATGGCTGGTATTGCATGGCATGGCTGGCATTGCATGGCATGGCTGGCATTGCATGGCATGGCTGGCATTGCATGAAATGAAATGGCATGACAATTCATGACATCATATGACGTGACATGAAGCGGCATGACATGGCATGACATGAATTGACATCCCAATCCATTCGCCCATTGCATTTGTTTTCTCGTCTCTCTCAGTTCCATCGCCTTCCCGTGTGTATGCTTCCGTTCCATCTGTGTTTGTGATGGACTCAGGACGGCACGAATTCAGCAGTCAAGGAAAGGGCCAAGCAGGCCCACCAGTTCACGTACCTGCAGGTGAGGTTGTTTACTCGAGCAGAAGAAAGATCATATGAGCCTCAATCGCAGCTCCTCGTACCCTTCATTCACCCCCCTACACTTCCTGTTGTATGCCTGTGTGCCTGTGTGCATGTGCCTGTGTGCCTGTGTGCATGTGCCTGTGTGCCTGCCTGCATGTGTGCCTGTCTGCATGCAGCACATCGAGACGGCACCCCCCAGAATGAACAACCCAGGGGAGAACATTGCGTATTACAGAATAGCAGGTGGGGATGAGGGTGGTTTTTTATGCCCCCGCTCTTGTTTTTATGCTTAGTATTATTACCTTTCCTGTGTGCTTCCCATTGTGTCACTCCAGTACCCTCAGAAGCAGTAACCAGCACGCAGGCTCTGCTGATGGCTTGTACACATTCCCGCCTTTCCACGTAGCCTGACCCCCCTGCTCCTCAACTCCTGCCCTCCCTTCTTCTCAACTCCCCGTGCATGGCCACAAGTACAGAGCACTACAAGTTCGCTCTCACAGAGCTCTTTGACCGACGCCAGTTTCCTCGAGTCATCATTCTCGAAGGTACTCTTCCCAACGTTCATTTTTCGACTTCACTCCAGGCGCATTGCTGTTCATTGTTTGTCTTCGTGCTACCTAACAGGCATGTACGTCGCACCCACCCACCCAGTTGCCCAACCCCTCATCAACACATCCACCCAACCTCGTTTTCCAAATCTCCCTGCCTCGCCTTTCTTTCCAGACGACATGGAGTTAGCTCCTGACTTCTTTGATTACTTTGAGGCCGCTTCCAACCTGCTGGATGTGGACGAGTGAGTGAATGAGTGTGGTGCAGTGCGGTGTGGTGGGATGCAGTGTGGTGTGATGTGTCGTTTGACGTTATATTCTGTGGCATGTTGCTATGCGATGTGGTGGTAATTGCGACAGCAACTTACCTACCTTTCGTCTTCACATCCCTCCCTCTCAGGTCCATCCTGGCTGTCTCCTCATGGAATGACAACGGCCAAAAACAATTCGTGCACGACTCGCACCAGCTATACCGCTCTGATTTTTTCCCCGGGCTGGGCTGGATGCTGAGGAGAGAGCTGTGGTTGGAGCTCAAGCCCAAGTGGGCGCGGGCCTACTGGGACGACTGGCTGCGCCTCCCGGAGCAGCGCAAGGGCCGCCAGACCATCCGCCCGGAGGTCTGCCGAACCTACAACTTCGGGGAGCATGTGAGTGTGTCTGCTGGACGTGCAGGTTCGGGAGCATATTCCTTTGGTGTCGGGTCTTTGCTTTGGTGAATCTGAATGCAAGAACTTGTGCCGATTCCTTTCAGCCTCAGCCTGAGCCGCCTGCCAAACCCACCTTGTCAAACTCTACCCTCTTGGTATCCTGTGTTCCCTGCCTCTGCCCCTCTCCTCACCTCCAGGGCTCCAGCATGGGTCAATACTTCAGCCAGTACCTGGCACCCATAAAGCTCAACACAGAGCCCATCAACTGGGCTCAGAAGGACCTCAGTTACCTGCTAGACGTCAGCTACCCCTCCTACATGCTCTCCCAGCTGCGCTCTGCCCGCCTCATCCCCCGCGCAGCCGTCAACACCGAGGTGGTAACCCCATCGGAGCTTGGTTACGATGTAATGGTGGAGTATAGTGATGAGAGTAGTTTCGCGGAGCTTGCGGGGGAGTTTGGCGTGTTTCAGGAGTGGAAGGCAGGGGTGCCTCGGACGGCTTATAGCGGGGTTGTAGTGTTTCGGTACCATGGGCCGCACCGAGTGTTTTTTGTTGAGCGGGGAGGGCTGGCAAAGTTGGGTTTTAAGCTGCCAGCAAGCACATAGGGCACAGTGATTGCCAGTAGCTGGAGGTCAGTCATACCGTAAAAGTAGGCTGTACCACTAGTAACTACCTCCTCTCATGCTCGACTGTGTTGTGATTGCTAATATCGCAGGATGCTCATAAAGGTACTCTCATTTGTACGGCTTCAGCCACGTGCCTCGCTATAAGTGGCTGCTGACGACGTGGCGATTGATTGAACACACATGCATCTAGCTGCTTCCCCAACCGTCGTCGCGAAAGTCGCCAAGTGCCTGAGCTGCACGTCTCGCAATTCGTTTCGCCAGTTTCGGTCAAGTTACTTCGCAAAGCAAATCATGCTCCACACATTAGCTCAGAGATACACATGATGCTCGTTTGACTAACCCAAGGTTGCCTTGTGAAGAGGGCTTGTAAATGAGTTCAAAAATTTCGCCAGTTCGCAGCTAGCAAATATGGATTCGTCAGGTGCTTATAAGGGCTCATATGAAAATTTGTAACATTTTGACTTCAGGCTCTTCGGTCAAACTTCAGTTTCTGTGGTTCGTATTGGTTAATATCACTGCAACTTGCTTGGCGTGCTTATAACGTGGGTGCAACTGGCTAGTACAAAAAACACGGGTGCAAGGTTTCCACCCGGCGCAGGGCAAATTCGCGTGCAGGGTGTGAGCATCAGCTGTATCTAGGATCCCCTTCCTCCTTGATAGGATGAGCCCAGCCAGACAGATTCGCCCTTTTCCGCACCCTCTGTCACTGCGTGCTCTTCAAATTACAGTACGAATCGCGCATTCTTACTTGCCTGCCTCGCTTCCACTCTCCCGCGCCTCGCGCCTCTCCCGCCGCTCCTGGTCTCCACCCGTCAGGTGCCAGCTTCCCTATTTACTTGCCGCGGTTGATGTTTTGTTAGGGGTCGTATTGGTTCGTCAAGTCCTCAGTGAAGAATCTATGACGGTCCGCCGACAGCAAATCGACTCGTCCGTCTGCGACCGTTAGTGTCCTCCTCAACCTTCCCCCCCCCCCCCCCCCCCCCCCCCCCCCCCCTGCTACTAAGATCATCAAAATCTGCTCATTGGAAACCGCTTTTTCGTATCCCGTGGCCATGGCCTCGACACGCCTTTGCCACGTGTCCGCCTCCCTGTCCCACCGCACGCTTCTCCCCGTTCCTTCACACCCGACCTTCGATTTTACTCTAGCCGCGCGCCGAGTCGTTCCGCACCGGCGGCGCGCTCTCCGCGTATCCGCCCCGCGCGCGCAAGCCGACGATGGCTCGAGACAGAGAAGCGGGCCGCGCTGGGACCCGCTATTAGCAGATTCGGGAACAGATTGTCCTGTGCCGGAGGAGCAGCAGCCTATTAACGAGTACCAGAGCCTCCTAGAGAGCGCGGTGTTCCCGTGGGTCACGCTGGACGGGCTTAGCTACGCGCTGCGGCTCGTGGGCGTTGGAGTGGTTGTCTCCGCGCTGATTGGCTGGCCCGTCGCGTCGCTGACGTTCGATCCCAAGGTAGGGCCTGAGACTTTCAAGGTAGGCGCGCACTCCCCCACAACCCCCTACATTCTCCCCTCTCACGCCCTCCTTCTCTCTCTTCCTCCCTCGCTTCCTCCTCTCTCTTCCTCCCTCTCTTCCTCCCTCTCTTTCTCCCTCTTATCCTCCCCTCTTTTTCCCTCGCTCCTTTCTCCTTCTCCTCAGAGGGACGCGCTACAGTGTCTGCTGGGGTCGCTGGGCGGCGGCCAGCTGGCGGTCACGTTGGCGGCGCTTCGGCTGTATCTGGGATGGTCGTATATCGGCAACAGACTCTTCAGTGCTACAGTGGAATGTGAGCAATAGTGCAGTACGAGATTCCTAATAGCCATTGCACACACACAACACACACACACACTTCTCTGTTCTCGCTCTCTCAAGCCCCACAAGCCTCGCTCACCTTCCTCTCCCCCTTTCCCCCCACACTTTATTACCCACAGACGAGGAGACGGGGTGGTACGACGGGCAGGTGTGGGTGAAGACCCCTGAGCTGCTGGCGCGAGACAGACTGCTCGCCTCTTACAAGGTACATTGGAGGCAGCACAGCACACAGCAGAGAACCTAGCTTCGTCTGTCTCATCCCTGTCTCTCCAAGATGAAGGCAGTCTTGAGATTTCAACCAATCTCTCCCCAACTCCTCCTGCCCTCAACAGGTGAAGCCAGTCCTGAATCGCCTCAAGTCCACCCTCTTGGGCTTGGGTCTCTCCCTTGCTGCCACCACCGCCCTCCTCTTCCTCCTCCCCTCCTCCTCCTCCTCCCCCTCTTCGCTCTCCAGCTTCACTCCTGCCTCCTACATCCCGAACTCAACTGCCACGTCAGCACTGGCAGCGCAGCAGGAGCAAAGAGCTGTTGAGGTGGATGGAGGGGATTATATGGAAGATGAGGTGGGTCTGGCATCCCCGTTATTAAGTGACATTCCTGGGTGTGGGCCAACAGGATCAGCAGCAGAAGATAGTGTTTGAATTGAATTGTTGGGAGAATGGAACACTGCATTTGCGTGTGTATGTAGTAAATTCTGGTCATCCCTTTCAGCTCCTCTAGGAGCTGGTGGTGTTACCTCCTCTAGAAGCTTCCATCACCAGCAGCCCTACCCCGTTCAATACACCCACTTACAGCTTCCATTACCTCTAGGTCACCACCCAACCCACCTTTCCTTCCCCAGTCACCCCTTCTCACCCCACTCTCCTCCATCTTTCATCTGCTAGTCTCCTGCTGGTTAGTCTCCCACATCTTTGATAGGGAACGAGCTGTTTTACTCGAGGCAAACACCATCTGCAAAGTCCCTTGCATATATCTCCTCTTGAGCTAATGTGGAGGTAACGGGTGAGCAGCAGCAGCACAAGGAGGGCTTGAAGTGCCCGGGGAATTACCCCAATCATGTTAGGGGTTGCACAATAAGCTTGAGAGAGCCACATTGTCTTGTCCTGTTCATGCTATGTTACTAACGAGGCATTGCGCCACGACAATCAAATCGGCTGGTCCACGCTAGCCCACGTTTTCGTACCAATCACCGCTCTACGTGGCGAATATGGCCTGGGTTTCGGGATACACATTCAGGCCCTCTGGGACGATTGAGCAGAGGTATTTCAGAGCAATCTCATCCCTTATCTCCACTCCCGTGAAAGAAATCTCTGAAGCTTCTCAAACTGCTCTCGCTTTTGCCGCCTAACACGCAAGCCGGCGCAACGCGTTTGACTGTGAATGTCGGCCCCGCTCGTCATTAGATCCTTTCCTCGCTCTTTCCTCCACCGCGTCTGCGCGCACGACATCCCTCAATCCAATATTCGCCGCGCGCCGACTTTCCGTCGTGAATTCCATATAGTAATTACACTCAGTCGCTTTGCGTGCGTTCCTGGTAGTCGCACGTCCTCGCCGCCTATTATTACGCCGCGTTGTCTCATACCCGCTAGCCTCCCGACATATCGGAGAGCTTCGTGGAATCTTCATTCGCACTTTCCACGTCACACTTCCGAGGTGTCCTCAACGCGCTCACCCGTTCAACGACTGACACGTGGCACACATTCGTTCGTCTCGGCAACCTCAATGGAGGCCGCACCTGTGCTCGATGGACACCCGTCCGCACCGACTGCGACGGCGCGAGTCGCGGTGGTAGGCGCGGGAATCTCGGGGCTCGTCGCCGCGTCGATACTCGCGGAGCGCGGGGCACACGTGGCGGTGTTTGATTTGGGGAGGGGTCCCGGCGGTCGCATGTCGCAGCGGAGGGAAAGCATCACTGTTTCGCCACGTGTCAATTCTGCCAAGTCAGCCGTCGACCTGCCGAACCTAGAGGCTAGGTTCGACCACGGCGCGCAGTACTTCACCATCAGCGACCCGAACGTGCTGTCGTTCCTGGATCAGAGGTTCGGAGGAACAGGGGCGATGGCGGAATGGCAGGGGCGGTTCGGAGTGTGGGATGCGGAAAAAGGGGAATTCACCCCAGAGGCGTTGGAGGACGCGGGGAGAGCGCAAGGGGGAGGAGAATTGCACCAAGGGGATAATATTGGTAATATAACCAAGAAGCGGTTTGTGGGGGTACCAGGAATGAACGCCCTCTGTCAGACGCTGCTTCTCCCCTCACCCGCGGCTTCCGCCGCAACCATCAACGCTAGATTCGGCGTCCAGGTGGCAAGAGCGGATTGGCTAGAGCACAAAAACCCTGCAGGAGTCTCTGATGTAGACGAGGCCACCCCTCTCCCTCCGTTATGGGAGCTTTTTTCGGCTTCCGGAGATTCCCTAGGGTGTTTCCACGGCCTGGTCATTGCTGCGGCATACCGAACCATGCCTGTGGTCCTCCCTGACCTGCCGAGCCTAGCTCAGGCTCGGCAGGGCCTGGCGCAGGTCCGGGCGTCGCCCAGGTTCGCGATGATGCTGGCGTTCGCCGAGCCTCTGAGCCACATGGCGTTTGATGGCGTGGATGTGGTGGGGAGTGACGTGGTGGGGTGGAATGGGCGGGATAGCAGCAAGCCAGGCAGGGCAAGAAGAGACGGAGGGCAAGAAAGAGCAGACGAGTGCAGAGCAGACCAGAGCAGAGAAGACCAGAGCAGAGCAGGAGAAGGGTACCAAGAGCAGCAGTATGCAGAGTGCTGGGTGGTTCACTCAACGCCTCACTACGCCTCCTCCCTCCTCGCCTCTGCTCCCCCTGGCCGCCCCTCCCCAGAGCTCCTTGCACGCGTGGCAGATGACATGTGGCGCGCTGTCAAGCCGATCGTGGGTGGTGGCAGTGGGAGAGGAGCTGGTGAGAGAGTGGGAGCAGTGGAGGGGAAGGAAGGTTCAGAGCCGGTTCTTAGCAAAGTGCACCGGTGGGGAGGGGCGTTCCCTGTCGCGGGGGTGACTGCAGCAGGGGAGAAGTGTCTGTGGAGCGAGGAGGGCAGGGTGGCTGCGTGTGGGGATTTCTGTGTGGGAGGGCCTGTGAGAGGCTTGGTGGAAGGCGCTGTGGCTAGTGGCATGGAGGCAGGGCGTAAACTGGGCGATGCTCTCCGGCTGAGAAGAAGTGCATTGTGAAGTGAGGATAACGCTGCCAAGCTGTCATGTGGGGGGATCAGGGAGAGGGTTGGTGGAAGGCGCTGTGGCGAGTGGCATGGAGGCAGGGTGCAAGCTGCGTGACGATGCTCTTCGGCTAGGAAGAAGTGCTATGTGAGGGTGCTTTTGAGACCCCTCAAAATGTGAGGGTGGCACTTTCGAGCTATCATGCAAAGGCCCAGGGTGATAGGAGGCCAAGCCATGTATGGTAGTGCTTTCTGTTGCCACCTTTCAAAAGTCCATCCTTTCATGCTCCCACCCTTCCACCCATCCATCCTCCCATCGTGCTCCCATACCATCCATGCTCCCATGCCCCTACCCCTCTCAATGCGTCCTCTCTCCTCACCGCTCGTCACACCTTGCAACTCCACCATCACACCTTCCAACCTCCTCTCTTCCCGAGCCCATCTTTCCCCGTCCCCACCTTCGTCCCTCTACCCCTCCACACCCTCTGCCCCATCCCACTCTGCCTCGTGTCATCCTCACCACCTGGGTAGGCGGTGGCCTGTGTGCTTGTGCTGGCACTACCGCCAACTGCGGGCAAGGCAGGCGTGAGAGCATTAACCAGCCCTGACTCACCAACTGACTGCCATCCCACTGCCTCTGCCACGTCACCTGCTGACGTTGCTGCTGCGGATGCTCAAGGTAGCGCAGAGGAAGGGGATAAGCATGTCTCTAGCGATTCAAGTCGAAGTGAGGGCAAGCGTACGGTTACTTTTGAAGACGGCCCTTCTAGCCACAACAGTGGCAGCAGCAGCGCCGGTGGCAGTAGCAGTGGCCGTGGCAGCAGTGGCAGATGCATAACCAGCCAAGGCAGCCTGGGGAGTAAAGAAGCTTATGGCAGGGGAGACATGTCTAAAACGACTCCACTCCTATCTTAGCATGTGAAACCACCGAGCAACGTGCTTTATTATATTCTTCTTCGCTCTGTCAATCGTGGCAAGAAGCTTTTAGGTCGGTAGGCGTGACAAATAGGTCTTTGAATATACGAAATGCTGTTTTGATTTTGAGACAGCAATCCAATGTGATAATTGCCTCCATCCATTTTATGTGTGAAGAGCGACGCCCAGCAATCCCTGTGCCCCACCACCTCCGTCCCTCTATGTTGTTCCTCGTTCCCAAGCAAAATCCCACTCTGCAATTTCACTTCTTTTACTACGCTCTCCGAGGATCAGTTTGCCTACTAGTTATCTCAGCGTAGAAGTCATGTTGAGAACACTCATTGATGGGGTTCTTTTATGGTCGAAACAAATGGTATGCACACTGCTGTACACTGTTCCTCACAATGCCGCTTGTTCCTCTCGATAAAGCTCCTCCTTACAACATCATTTCATTTGCCAGCATGGCGTGTGACGTGTCCCTCTCGAGAAAGGCGGGACTTCCGCGAGAATGCAATCCGCGGAGGAGGAGGCGGAGGGTACTGCTTTGGCAGATAAGGTTGCCTGTGCAGGCGGAGGGGCATCGGCGGACGGGCACAGGAGCGGCGGAAGGACCCCCGGGGAGGAGGACTTGGTAAAGGGGGGGACCTTGGGATTCGAACCGCCTCGAAATTGCCTTGCAACACGGAAATGGTCATCGTGGGTTACTCATTCTGGTGCTCTGTGGTTTCTAGTGGTTCGCTTGAACTACCGCTTTCTACCTCGTTAACACTGTCTGAACCGCACTGACCGATGTGCTACGGACAAACACATGAGACAACCCCGTTGCGTCGCGTGGGGTTGAAGCCATATGCAAACCGCTAAAAGTTTCCGAACCGTGTTCAACCAAATTGGACCCTCCGTCACGCATCCGATATCCCTCCGCGTACCCCCAATCTGCACAATCACAGAACGGAAGCACTTCGCCTTCCTCACAAAGCACGACATGATTTCGCGAACCACGTCGTCACTCAACTCTTCCTCTGTGGCTGCAACAGGGGATGGCGAAACTCAGCTTCCAAATGCGACGGAGGAACGGCTGACAACAGAAGTTACATGGGAGTTCGCCAATTCGCTAAATCAGGACCCCAGCTTATCCTTGAAGATGATGATTTTTACAGCTCCTCCGTCGCTCCTCCCTATCGCTGCTTCTGTCAGACGCAACAGAGGCAGATCATCGTTCCCTCCCAAACCTTCTGCCAGCCGCCTCCTAAGCGCTAGAGCGGCTCAATTTAGCAGCACGCTTCGGGAAACGGATCGCGGCGGTTGAATGAGCGGCAATTCTAGAGGCCACGTCACTACTTGTTCGAATTTTGTGTTTCCACCCGCGTTTTGTTCCCGGCCATTAAAACAGCATACGTGTCCCAAATTGAGGAAATAGGATTTCGTTGCACTTTAGCGGTCCAATCAAACGCTGGGGTTTTCTTTTGGCGGTCCAATCAGAGCTGGGCCCCATGTTGTCGGCGAATCGGTATGATCCACCATAGCCCACGGTGGCACGTTTGGGACCACCGTAGAGGACATCAAGGCGGGTTTCCAACTGCTGACGGTTTTCCCCGAACAGCGCATCCCAACGGTCTGCAATCAGGCGTGTCTCGCATCTTCAGGCTCGTATTCTGGCGCCTCTTCTTGGAATCTCAGTTAGTTTTTCCAGCCTTGTAGGCATTTCGCTAGTCGATTTTGGCTTCCGGCCGCTACGAGTTTCGAACCACCATCGTCCTCTCACATCGTCACCAATCAGCCTGGTTCGTTCTGTCGGATCGAAGAGCTTCATACCTTCGTCAATCGTGGGAGTTTATGCCACGTTAATCAGGCAACTTCGCCTGCATGTCGCCGTTTTCTACGTCAGGTACAGCAACCATCCCTATTGCGTTCTTTCGCATCGACAACTGATGAAGTCCTTCCATTTTGTTTTCAACGCCGATCCTGACTATTTCACTCTCGATGTGCAGGACATCATGGTAACCTTATCGTCGCGGATCTGCTTATCGTTGCGGATCTGCATTTCATCGCGGATCTGCATCTCGTCGCGGATCTGCTTATCGTTGCGGATCTGCATTTCATCGCGGATCTGAATTTCGTCGCGGATCTGCATTTCGTCATTGATCTTCTCGAGGAGCAGCTCCAGGTGTTGTGAAGGTTGAAAGTATCAACCCCCCACAGAGCCACTCCCCTGGTTACTAAGGTCTGGTACAGGTGAAGGTTTGGTAAGGTCCCCTTCAGGTTTTTGGTTAAGGTACTGGCTCTGTGGGTCTGCTGTGGCAAGCAGCAGCGTTTTTCGTTTTCACGCTTGCAAAGTCCTTTCTTCTTACTGCTTTCGGACATGTACTAATTCTAGTTTTTTTTTCTAAACTTGCAGGTTATGTCTGAGGGACTCCCGCATGCATCAGAAGCCTTCAAGGGAGCAACCGCCTTTATCAGCTTCCATGCTTCATGGCGGCAGTAGAGGAGCAGCTCCAGGGCTTGTGAAGGTTGAAAGTATCAATCCCCCACAGAGCCACTCCCCCAGGTTAAGGTCTGGTACAGGTGAAGGTTTGGTAAGGTCCCTTTCAGGTTTTTGGTTAAGGTACTGGCTCTGTGGGTCTGCTGTGGTAAGCAGCAGCTTTTTTCGTTTTCACGCTTGCAAAGTCCTTTCTTCTTTCTGCTTTTGGACATGTACTAATTCTAGTTCTTTTTTTACCCTGCAGGTTATGTCTGGGGTTCCCCCGCATGCATCAGAAGCCTTCAGAGGAGCAACCGCTTTCAGCAGTCTTTCATGCTTCATGGCGGCAGCAGAGGACCAGCTCCAGGCGTGTGAAGGTTGAAAGTATCAAACCCCCACAGAGCCTTCCCCTGGTTAAGGTGTGGTACAGGTCAAGGTTTGGTAAGGTCCCCCTCAGGTTTTTGGTTAAGGTACTGGCTCTGTGGGTCTGCTGTGGTAAGCAGCAGCTTTTTTCATTTTCACGCTTGCAAAGTCCTTTCTTCTTTCTGCTTTTGGACATGTACTAATTCTAGTTCTTTTTTTAACCTGCAGGTTATGTCTGAGGGTCCCCCGCATGCATCAGAAGCCTTCAGATGAGCAACCGCCTTCAGCAGTCTTTCATGCTTCATGGCGGCAGCTCCAAGCGTGTGAAGGTTGAAAGTATCGAACCCCCCACAGAGCCTTCCCCTGGTTAAGGTGTGGTACAGGTCAAGGTTTGGTAAGGTCCCCCTCAGGTTTTTGGTTAAGGTACTGGCTCTGTGGGTCTGCTGTGGTAAGCAGCAGCTTTTTTCGTTTTCACGCTTGCAAAGTCCTTTCTTCTTTCTGCTTTTGGACATGTACTAATTCTAGTTCTTTTTTTAACCTGCAGGTTATGTCTGAGGGTTCCCCCGCATGCATCAGAAGCCTTCAGATGAGCAACCGCCTTCAGCAGTCTTTCATGCTTCATGGCGGCAGCTCCAAGCGTGTGAAGGTTGAAAGTATCAAACCCCCCACAGAGCCTTCCCCTGGTTCAGGTGTGGTACAGGTCAAGGTGTGGTACAGGTCAATGTTTGGTAAGATCCCCCTCAGGTTTTTGGTTAAGGTACTGGCTCTGTGGGTCTGCTGTGGTAAGCAGCAGCTTTTTTCGTTTTCACGCTTGCAAAGTCCTTTCTTCTTTCTGCTTTTGGACATGTACTAATTCTAGTCCTTTTTTTAACCTGCAGGGAGGGTCCCCCGCATGCATCAGAAGCCTTCAGATGAGCAACCGCCTTCAGCAGTCTTTCATGCTTCATGGCGGCAGCTCCAAGCGTGTGAAGGTTGAAAGTATCAAACCCCCCACAGAGCCTTCCCCTGGTTCAGGTGTGGTACAGGTCAAGGTGTGGTACAGGTCAATGTTTGGTAAGATCCCCCTCAGGTTTTTGGTTAAGGTACTGGCTCTGTGGGTCTGCTGTGGTAAGCAGCAGCTTTTTTCGTTTTCATTCTTGCAAAGTCCTTTCTTCTTTCTTCTTTTCGACATGTACTAATTCTAGTTCTTTTTCTAACCTGCAGGTTATGTCTGAGGGTCCCCCGCATGCATCAGAAGCCTTCAGATGAGCAACCGCCTTCAGCTGTCTTTCATGCTTCATGGCGGCAGCAGAGGACCAGCTCCAGGCGTGTGAAGGTTGAAAGTATCAAACCCCCCACAGAGCCTTCCCCTGGTTAAGGTGTGGTACAGGTCAAGGTTTGGTAAGGTCCCCCTCAGGTTTTTGGTTAAGTTACTGGCTCTGGGTCTGCTGTGGTAAGGAGCAGCTTTTTTCGTTTTCACGCTTGCAAAGTCGTTTCTTCTTTCTGCTTTTGGACATGTACTAATTCTAGTTCTTTTCTAAACCTGCAGGTTATGTCTGAGGGTCCCCCGCATGCATCAATCGCCTTCAGAGGAGTAAGTGCCTGCAGCCATCCATGCTTCATGACGGCAGAAGAGGACCAGCTTCAGGCTTGTGAAGGTTGAAAGTATCATCTCCCACAGAGCCTCTCCCCTGGTTAAGGTCTGGTACAGGTCAAGGTTTGGTAAGGTCCCCTTCAGGTTTTCGGTCAAGGTACTGGCTCTGTGGGTGCTGCTGTGGTAAGCAGCACACTTCTGCTATACCGTTTTTTTTCCTGTATGTTAAGTTTACTGCTGATTACTAACCAAGTTCCCTTGACCCCTTGCAGGTTCTATGCTTTGTGCCTAACTCTAAGGAGGGGTGAACGTACCTGCCAACAGCACCTGGCAGGTGCCTCCTCTTTCTCCACCAGCTGTAAGTCCGTCTCACTCTTCATTTTAGTCATTTGCTGCATGTCGGTTCGTTTTTCTATATGGCTTTTTAACCTGGTTTTTCTGTCTTTACTTGGCAGGTTGCTTCACCAAATGATTTCAACATGTCCGAGATCCATGGGAGCACCATGGCCCACTGAAGCGCCTCAAGGTTGAAGCATTGAAAGATAAGTCGCCAACCGTAACCATTGCCCTTGCTTTATTGCTCCAGTGCTCCTCCGCTGCTTACTCAAAGCTTGCTGATTTTTTTGGGTTCTTTTTTTTTTCTAGATTGTGGTTTAACTCGGCGTTGACTGACTTGTTTTATTTTGCCTCATGGCAGAGTCTTTCTCCAAGCGACATCTGCATGCCATGGATCCTCGAGGCCTTGTGCATGGCTCCACACTCCAGCATGCCCAAGATCCATGGGAGCACCATGACCTGCTGAGGCGCTTCAAGGCTTAAACACCGCTCCACAGTCTATATTCCTCAACTTCAGATAAGTCTCAGTCGTTACCTTCGACCTCCCTTCCTCATGCACATGGCTTCATTTTGCAGTGCCTTCCTCCTTGATCTGTTGTTTGTTGATTTTCTTTGATGCATGCTGCCTTTCTGCTTTCTTTCTTTTTTATCATGGACTAATCTGTCTTTCTTGCACTCCTTTGTCTGCAGGTGCCCTCATGGGTGTCAAGACTCAGTGGGTGACTGTGGCCAGTGCACGAGAGTGGTTGAAGTCATGAGCATTGGCTAAGCACTCAACTCCGGGCCAAACCGGACTGGTTGTGTCCCCTTCCACCCCCGTCAAGTGACAACACTGTCTGGCCAGCAGTTGTTGTCATTTGATGGAGGTGGGGGTGGGCACAGCTAGTCCCTAGTAGGGTACCCGCATGCCTTGGGCGAAGCAATGCTCATGGCCCAACCTTACTCTCACTGCACTGCCAGTCCATGCCGGGGTGGGCATGGATGGCATGCTGCCAGCCATGGAATAAGATAGGCTTAGAGAATTACAATTGCTGTACCTCCTGGATATTATATAAATGTTTACAGAATGTACATCATTGTAATGATACAACTCTGACTGATCAAGTATACTGAAATAATGTTGTAGGAATTGTTCATGTCACATTACGTGTTGTTCTGGCCAAAAGAAACAGCTACTGCAGACTTGCGTCTACTTGCGAAACGACATGTTGTATAGATAAAGCTATCGCATAAACATGAAATACTGAACATTCAGCAATCAACATTCAACTGAAGTTTGGAATTACATCAAAGTTATTTTAGTTCAAGAAATCATCGCCAAAACGAAGCATTCTCTCTGACAACGATTCTCCCGCCTGGTTTCCTCCTCCCTCCTGTGCTGGCGGCCATTGTAAGCAGGAAGCACATGACACAGTCTTTCCCCCTGGCGGAGCATGCCGGATGACACCGGATGGATGAGCGCCTGTTAGGTTTGAGTTAACAGTGTGTCGGAGGTCATGTGGTCTTGCTTCCGCGCTGCGTCGCGCGCCGCTGCGAGTTCACCGGGGAAGCACGCTGGTTGCGAGATCCGCTTGTTCGTCGCCGTCAGATCGCCACGTCTGGTTGACTGCCACGTCAGCCTGCATCGTTCGATTTCCTGTGCTCGTTCGCATCCAGCATACACATGGCGATCAGGCGAAGCAAACCGAATTCTCATCCGTAGGTGGCTTGGTCGGGAAATTACCAGCTTCGGTGCAGATGGTCTGGCTCGACGTCCGGCTCAGAGTCTGGTTCGGAATCTGGTTCGGCAAGCCGAGCCTCTTGGCGTTTACGCAAGGACCCATGAAATTTCGTTTCACGCGTGCAGAAGCCAAGCCTCCGTGTGTCAGTCGTTGCCAGTAGTAAGCTCCGCTCGACCCTACACCAGTGACAGTAGCAGCAGCAACAGCAGCAGCAGCAACAACAGCAGCAGGCTTGGTAGCAACAACACCGTTGGCATTGAACAAGGACCGATCGCTCCTGGCAATGGTGCTCCTAGAAACTCTGGGACACGTGACAGCTCAGGTTACGCTGGCACGCAGGTTCCCCAACGAACCGGTTACGGTTTACCGGGACAGGGATACGCGAGACAGGGTTACCCGAGACAGGGTGATTCGAGACAGGGTTATCCGGGACAGCGTTTCCCGGACCAGGGTTCCCTGAAGCAGCAAGAATGGCAACTTGAGCGAAGCCAAGCCAGAATGCGAGCTCGCGAACTCGTGTGGCGAATGAGCCAAGCAGCAGGGGCGGGTAACTACGAGCTTCTGCTTTCGCTAGCTGGAAAGCCAGTGAGCGAGAAGGAAAGGCATTGGCGGGAGAGCGTTGAGCGGATGAGCAGCATCGGAAAGAGAAGCCAAGACGAGAGGAGAATGGGGCAAGAAGGCCGTGGGATGGATGAGGCATGTGGCAGCAGCGACAGCGGCAGCAGTTTCAGTCGTAGCGGCAGCAGCATAAGCTGCACGGAGAGCGCGAGAGGCAGTAGCAGTGGTGACAGCGGAAGGGCAGAGTCAAGAGGAGCAGCAGCAGGAGAACTGCCCCCTGCAGCCTCTGAAGGATCACCTGCTGTTTCACCTGGATTCCCCGAGAGCGTTTCACTGGGGAACCTTTTACCTGAGAGTTTTTCACCTGGGAACTTGATAAAGCCCTCCTCAGAATCAACGGCTGGGAACGTTTCACCTGACAGCAGCTTGCCACGTCAGCCCTATCTGCTGCCAGCACGGAGCGTCCGTGCAGTGCTGCACACCCTGCGCCAGCAGCGCGCACCAATGGTGGCCGTCCACGTGTACTGGAGGCTAAGGGCAGCTGGACACCTGTCCTCCCACTGCAATGACGTGGCAATTGCTGCGTGCTGTGGGGTGGAGGCGGAATACAGACTGGCGGAGTATGAGAGGGCGGAGGGGCGGCAGGGGGGAGGGTGGGGCGGGGGAGGTGCGCAGGGGAAGGGGGGAGCAGAGGATATGGGTTTTTTGGGGATCTCTGAAGGGGATTTAGGGGTGCTGGCTATGGAAGGCGGCGAAGGGGACGAGGAGGGAGAGGATGTAGAGGAGGGAGAGGAGTGCGAGGAGGGAGAGGAGGCCGAGGAAGAGGGCGAGAGGGAAGGAGGGGAGGGTGGAAGTGAAGGTGGAGGGATGGAGGAGGATACAGACAGTCAGGAGGTGCCACAGCAAGTGGGGGGGAGCAGGAGGCAGAGCGAGGGCAGGCGCAGCAGGAGCAGGTTGCGTCCATGGGTACTCTCCAGCCCCACCGTACAGGCAGCACTGGACAGCCACGCCCCTCCCCCCGCCCTTCTCATGCTGGCCGCGCAGGGCCTTTTCACAGGACAGGGGATGCGTGAGTCAACTCAACCGACAGCTATGCCGATGCTGCCTGGCGAGGGGCTATATGCCGGGTTTGTGAGTGAAGGCGAGGTGGCACGCCGCGAGACTCAAGGGGGCAGACGCGAGGCGGAAGTGCTAGGGGGATTGGGGAGAGAAATGGGAGAAGTAGGTCAGGTGGCAGCAGACGGTGCTGCTGCTGCTGCTTCCCTCCTGCTCACGGATCAGACCACCACCCACTCTAGCCCATCCCCTCACTCTTGCCCCTCCCTTCACTCCCAAGCATCTCCCTGCTCGCACTCCTCCCAAGCCTCCTGGCCAGGCATGGAAGCACGGTTTCCGGTGCTGTCTGCGCTGATCAGGTTCGAGGAGAGGTTCGGCATAGGCTCGAGCGCGTGGGAGGAGGTTCGGGCGCTGGGGCTATGGGAGAGGGCAGCGTTGGAGATTCTGGCAGAGGCTCGGGCCGGGCCGCAGAGGTTCAGAGGGGAGATGGCTCGGCCGTACCACAGGGTGCTGATGGCTCTGGCGCTGAGAGGATGGGATGAGGAGATTAACAAGGTGAGGAAGAGAGAGATACCTGGTGCCTGCTGCAGTGACTTTTGAGTCGACTCAAAAGTCAACTCGGGAGATGGCTCGGCCGTTCCACAGGGTGCTGATGGCTCTGGCGCTAAGAGGATGGGATGATGAAATCGCTCAGGTGAGAAAGAGAGATACCTGGTACTTGCTGCGGTGCCTGTTGCGGTGCCTGTTGCGGTGCCTGCTGCGGTGCCGGCTGTGGTGACTGCTGAAATGCCTGCTGAAATGCCTGCTGAAATGCCTGCTGAGCTGCCAGCTGCTCCGAGTGCATGTTGGGGTGCATGTGGGGGACGGCGTCTCTCTTCTCCCCACACACACTCCTGCCACTGTCCCCCCCGCCCCACCCCACCACTGCCCCCAGCAGGTGCGGGCATGGATGGAGCAGGACGGAGTGCCTCTAGCACACAGCTTCCCCGCACTGCTCGCCCGCCTGCGCCACGTGGGCCAGTCAACGCCCCCTGCTGCCTCCCACGTGCCTCTGCTCTCCACGCTCATCAACAGCCCTGGTGAGTCACTGTTCACCCGTGCTTGATTCCCTGGTGCTTCTGCTGCTGGTGCCGGTACTCTTGAGTTAGAATGACGTGCCTGTTCCTCGTGGGCCAGTCATCGCCCCCTGCTGCCTCCCATCAGGTTCGTCCCCCATCAGGTTCGTCCCCATCAGGTTCGTCCCCATCAGGTTCGTCCCCATCAGGTTCGTCCCCATCAGGTTCGTCCCCATCAGGTTCGTCCCCATCAGGTTCGTCCCCATCAGGTTCGTCCCCATCAGGTTCGTCCCTTATCAGGTTCGTCCCCCATCAGGTTCGTCCCCATCAGGTTCGTCCCCATCAGGTTCGTCCCCCATCGTCCCCCATCAGGTTCGTTCCCCATCAGGTTCGTTCCCCATCAGGTTCGTCCCCCATCAGGTTCGTCCCCATCAGGTTCGTCCCCATCAGGTTCGTCCCCATCAGGTTCGTCCCCCATCGTCCCCCATCAGGTTCGTTCCCCATCAGGTTCGTTCCCCATCAGGTTCGTCCCCCATCAGGTTCGTCCCCATCAGGTTCGTCCCCATCAGGTTCGTCCCCATCAGGTTCGTCCCCCACCAGGTTCGTCCCCCATCAGGTTCGTCCCCATCAGGTTCGTCCCCATCAGGTTCGTCCCCATCAGGTTCGTCCCCATCAGGTTCGTCCCCCACCAGGTTCGTCCCCCACCAGGTTCGTCCCCCATCAGGTTCGTCCCCATCAGGTTCGTCCCCATCAGGTTCGTCCCCATCAGGTTCGTCCCCATCAGGTTCGTCCCCCACCAGGTTCGTCCCCCACCAGGTTCGTCCCCCATCAGGTTCGTCCCCATCAGGTTCGTCCCCATCAGGTTCGTCCCCATCAGGTTCGTCCCCATCAGGTTCGTCCCCATCAGGTTCGTCCCCATCAGGTTCGTCCCCATCAGGTTCGTCCCCATCAGGTTCGTCCCCATCAGGTTCGTCCCCATCAGGTTCGTCCCCATCAGGTTCGTCCCCCATCGTCCCCCATCAGGTTCGTTCCCCATCAGGTTCGTTCCCCATCAGGTTCGTCCCCCATCAGGTTCGTCCCCATCAGGTTCGTCCCCATCAGGTTCGTCCCCATCAGGTTCGTCCCCCACCAGGTTCGTCCCCCATCAGGTTCGTCCCCATCAGGTTCGTCCCCATCAGGTTCGTCCCCATCAGGTTCGTCCCCATCAGGTTCGTCCCCCACCAGGTTCGTCCCCCACCAGGTTCGTCCCCCATCAGGTTCGTCCCCATCAGGTTCGTCCCCATCAGGTTCGTCCCCATCAGGTTCGTCCCCATCAGGTTCGTCCCCCACCAGGTTCGTCCCCCACCAGGTTCGTCCCCCATCAGGTTCGTCCCCCATCAGGTTCGTTCCACATCAGGTTCGTCCCCCATCAGGTTCGTCCCCATCAGGTTCGTCCCCATCAGGTTCGTCCCCATCAGGTTCGTCCCCATCAGGTTCGTCCCCATCAGGTTCGTCCCCATCAGGTTCGTCCCCATCAGGTTCGTCCCCATCAGGTTCGTCCCCATCAGGTTCCCCTCACAGCAGCAGTGGGATGACATGCTGCTGCTGCTGCCCCACGCGCTCACCTGCTACTTCCATTCCCTCCATCCCCCCTTTTGCTCCACCAGACTTCACGATTCACAAGCTAGCCTCACAGCAGCAGTGAGACGACATGCTGCTGCTGCTGCTGTGTGTCGCTAACCCCGTCCCGTCCCCCAACCCTTCAAACCACTCCCTCTCACCCCACCTCACCAGACTTCATGATTCACAAGCTAGCCTTACAGCAGCAGTGGGACGACATGCTGCTGTTGCTTCCCACGCGCTCACCTTCTACTTTGAGTCGCACGGGTGGAACTCACATGCTGCTCCTGCTAATCCATTCCCTCCCCTCCACCCCCCCCCTTTGCTCCACCAGACTTCACGATTCACAAGCTAGCCTTACAGCAGCAGTGGGACGACATGCTGCTGTTGCTTCCCACGCGCTCACCTTCTACTTTGAGTCGCACGGGTGGAACTCACATGCTGCTCCTGCTAATCCATTCTCTCCCCTCCACCCCCCCCCTTTGCTCCACCAGACTTCACGATTCACAAGCTAGCCTCACAGCAGCAGTGGGACGACATGCTGCTGCTGCTGCCCCACGCGCTCACCTGCTACTTGGAGTCGCACGGGTGGGAGCGCATCGCGCTCTGGAGCGCCGCCCTCGCTGCTGTGGGCCACGCGTGCCGCCCCGACGTGCTCAAGAGCACGGTGGACGCTGCTCAGGCCACGGGGCTGGCGGATGGTGAGTGCGGATGGGATGGGAGTGCGAGTGTGGGTTTGTGATGCACGTTATAAGCCAGGGTGCGTGAAAACCCTACCAGGCGTGCCGCCCCGACGTGCTCAAGAGCACGGTGGACGCTGCTCAGGCCACGGGGCTGGCGGATGGTGAGTGCGGATGGGATGGGAGTGCGAGTGTGGGTTTGTGATGCACGTTATAAGCCAGGGTGCGTGAAAACCCTACCAGGCGTACCTCTCCGATGTGCTCAAGAGCATGGTGGACGCTGCTGAAGCCACGGGGCTGGCCGATGGTGAGAGTGTAGGTTTGTGATGCACTTCATAAGCCAGGGCGCGTGAAAACCCTGCCAGGCGTACCACGTGTCCCAGGCCAGGCCGACGTGCTCAAGAGCATGGTAGACGCTGCTCAGGGGCTGGCAGATGGTGAGTGCAGAGTGAGAGTGGGCAAGTACGTTCACAATGCGATTCTTCCCCCGTGTAGCCCTGTCCCTCCCAACCCTCTTGCCCCCTTCCCCCCTTCCCCCACCCTTCCCCCGTCTTTCTCCCGAAACACCCTCTTGCCCCTTTCCCCTCTCCCTCTTCTTGCCCCAGTCCCTTTCTCGCTCCTGGATGGCATGCAACTCACCAGAAGCAGTTCCTGGGGGCCAACTACTGGAAGGGCTTCCGGCCACTGGTGGAGCGGCAGGGCCGGCAAGTCTCTGACCTCCTCTCCTCTTCCCTCCCCTCCCTTCAACCCCTTTCTCCTCCTTCCCCTACTGCAGCGCCGTTCTCTCTCCCAGACGGCACACAACTCACGCGAAGGCAGTTCCTGGGGGCCAACTACTGGAAGGGCTTTCGGCCGCTGGTGGAGCGACAGGGCCAGCAGGGGGTGTCAGGGGGCGAGTTTGAGCGCACGTGGGGGCTGGTGAGACAGGCCGTGGCGGCCACGGGGCTGTATCCGCACGAGGGCATCTCATCCCTGCTTATCTCCGGCCTCTGTGTCAACGGTCAGGTGTGTTCTCGCTGCTCGTATTTGGTGTTTCTCTCCGGTGGATGGGGGCGCTGCTGTCTGTCTCTCTCTCTTGGCCCTTCACTCCGCTTTGTGCCACTTCACCCAGCTGTGGCTGGCTCTCTTTGTTCTCCTAATCCAACCTACCCTCCACCAGTCCCCTCACTTTTCCCTTTCCCCATGTCCTCTGCAGCTTGACAGGGTGATGGGTGTGTTGGAGGCGATGCAGCAACTGTGAATCAATCATGAGGTTTTTCTCTCCTCTATTTTTGCTCTTTTCCCATCCACGATGCCCCTATCTCCGCTTCCACCTCCTCCGCTCTCCAGCTTGACAGGGCGATGGATGTGTTGGAGGAGATGCAGCAGATGGGCTTCGCCCTCACGCCACGAGTCTTTGACCCGCTGCTGCTGCAGCTCGCGCGCTCCAGGCTCTTCAAGGAGGCGCTTGCTCTGGCTGACGTCATGCGCCGCATGGAGGGAGGGCTGACAGTGGCTTCATTTAGCAGCCTCATTGAGGCGTGCCTGCAGGTCGACAATGTGAGTCCTGGCTGGGTAGGTACTACATGGTGTGCTCCCCATTGCTGCTGCAGCTCGCGCGCTCCAAGCTCTTCAAGGAAGCTCTCGCCCTGGCTGACGTCATGCGCCGCATGGAAGGGGGACTCACTGTCGCCTCCTTCAGCAGCCTGATTGAGGCACGCCTGCAGGTCGATAATGTGAGTCGCTACACAGCATGGGGCAGGTGTCGCTACACTACATGTGTGTGTATGTGACAATGTAAAGGTTAGTGTGTGCACCGCGCTCCAGGCTCTTCAAGGAAGCGCTCGCCCTGGCGGACGTCATGCGCCGCATGGAGGGGGGAAATACTGTCGCCTCCTTGAGCAGCCTCATTGAGGCGTGCTTGCAGGTCGACAATGTGAGTCTCAGGGTGGGGCAGGTGTGAGTGTGTGCTATCCGCGCTCCAAGCTCTTCAAGGAGGCTCATCGTTGCTTCGTTCTTTGAGGCGTGCCTGCAGGTTGACTATGTGAGTCTCTACACTCTGTCGGGCAGGTGTTGCTACTTGTGTCACAGTAGCTCTGTGGGTACGTGTGCCTTGGGTGGGTAGGTAGGTGCACGTTGTGATGCTGCTCCAATCTTCAGCGAGTCACATGAGAGAGCTCCAACATTTCACAAAACCTCACAGTTTACAAAAGATTCTCAACAGTCTCTCTCTCTCCCTGCCTTCTTCCCGGTCGCCCATGGCAGATCCCCATGGCACTGGAGCTCGTGGCAGAGATGAGAACAACGGGCGTGCAGAGGAACAGCTACATCTACACACCCATCATCCACGCCTTCTGCAAACAGGCACGTCCTGCAATCCACAACATTTAACCCAGTGCATAAGGATTCGCCCCAAGGTGATGGTTTTCACGCAGCTTCTGCTCGGCTGTTCCCTCGCGCGCAATCCCCACCAATCCCAGTGCACATGGCTTTGCTTGATCCTTCTTCCCCCTCCCCATGTCTCCCCGCTGCTCCCCTCTTCTGCCCTACACTCTCTCCCCCTCTCTCTCGCCCCGCTTTCCCCAAAAACCCCCTCCCTCCCACCCCGTTCCCGGCAGCCCAGGGGAAGCTGTCAGCGGCAATGGGGGTGCTGCGTGAGATGATGGCAGACGGCATTCGCCCCAACGTGGTGGTGTTCACTCAGCTGCTGCACGGCTGTGCCCTCAAGCGCAACCGCGCCATGGGCATGCGCGTGCATGCCATGATGCAGCAGCATGGCGTGGGCCCCAATGACTACCTGCATGCCGCCATGGTCGAATTGTACCACAAGACAGGCGACGTGCATGGGGCCATGGAGGTGTGTGGAGGGTGGTATGGGCTGGTTGAGTGTGTTTTGAGTCGACTCATGCCATGATGCAGCAGCATGGCGTGCCCCCCAATGACTACCTGCATGCCGCCATGGTCGAATTGTACCACAAGACAGGCGACGTGCATGGGGCCATGGAGGTGTGTGGAGGGTGGTATGGGCTGGTTGAGTGTGTTTTGAGTCGACTCATGCCATGATGCAGCAGCATGGCGTGGCCCCCAATGACTACCTGCATGCCGCCATGGTCGAATTGTACCACAAGACAGGCGACGTGCATGGGGCCATGGAGGTGTGTGGAGGGTGGTATGGGCTGGTTGAGTGTGTTTTGAGTCGACTCATGCCATGATGCAGCAGCATGGCGTGGCCCCCAATGACTACCTGCATGCCGCCATGGTGGAGCTGTATCACAAGACGGGGGATGTGCATGGGGCCATGGAGGTGAGGATGGGGGAGGGCATGCGTGGGTAGGTGTGGTTGATTGCCCCCATCCCAATGACTACCTGCATGCCGCTATGGTGGAGCTTTACCACAAGACGGGGGATGTGCCTGGCGCCATGGAGGTATGGACAGGGGGTGACGGTTTGTGTGGGCCGGTTGAGTGTGGTTTGAATTCACTCAGAACGCAGATGGCTGGCGTGCATGGCATGATGCAGCAGCACGGCGTGGCCCCCAATGACTACCTGCACGCCGCCATGGTGGAGCTGTATCACAAGACAGGCGACGTGCATGGTGCCATGGAGGTACCGAGGGGGGCATGCGTTTGTGAGTTGCAGGGTAGCATCATTGTAATGTATAAGGTGCCCCCCAAAGACAATCTGCATGCTGCCAGCCCCAATGACTACAGCTCCAGTCCCCCTGCCGGGACTACAGCTCCAGTCCCCAAGGCCGGGACTACAGCACCCTCACTCCCCTTCCCACCCCCTTTCCTCCCCCTTCCCACCCTCCCATCGCATCAGTACCTGGCAGCAGCAGAGGCGGCGGGACACAGAGTAGGCGCCAACGCAGTGAGCGCTCTGGTCGAGGCCCTGGCAGCAGCAGGCCGCACAGAGGCAGCCCTAGCGGCGTTCCGGAAGGGGCGAGCGCAGGGCGTGCAGCCCCTGCCATACGCCGTGGGGACCATGATCATGGCGCTAGGACGGGCGGGCATGGTGGAGGACATGATGAAGCTGTTTCGAGAGACTCGCAGAGGGGTGCGGGGGGTGCAAAAAGGGGAGAGGAATGAGGAGTGGAGAAGCGGAGAGCATGGGGGGGATGGGGAACGGGGTGAGGGGGGGAGGCAGTGGGAGGGCATGACGTGGCAGCAGGAGATGCGGAGTGGGCATGCGCTGGTGGTGCAGACGCTGGCATGCCTCGTGCAGCTTCACGACGTGCAGTATGTCCCTGTTCCCGCTGTCTCCTTCTCCCCCCTCCCTACCTCTTGCACTCCCTACCTGCCTCTTGCCCTTCCTCGCTACCCCTTGCCCTCCCTCCCTGCCGTCTCACCCATGTGCTTGTTGAGTGCACACGAGATAGAAGAATCTCATTGTGCGTATCTCCTGTCCGTGAGAGCAGGGGCATTCTGGAGGTAGCAGAGGAGATCAAGGACGACCCTCAACTCAACCGCCAGCAGATCTTCGACCAGGTGGGGTTCTCTTGTGCCTCTTTGCCCTCCAGTCACATGCCACACACCAGCCACACGCCAGCCACACTTCAGCCACACGCCAGCCACACGCCAGCCACACTTCAGCCACACGCCAGCCACACTTCAGCCACACGCCAGCCACACTTCAGCCACACGCCAGCCACACGCCAGCCACACGCCAGCCACACACTAGCCACACACCAGGCACACACCAGGCACACTCCAGCCACATGCCACATGTCATCTCTACGGCCAGCAGATATTTGAGCAGGTCGTTTTTTCTGCTCCGGAATTGCTCATACGTCCACTCCTCTCGCACCTCCTGCCCATCACGCTGGCAGGTGCTACTGCCAGTGGCCAGGGGTTTACCGGACGAGAGGGGGGTGTGTTTGATCGGGGTGCGAGAGGCCCTTCGCATGTTCCAAGCCCTGCGCACTGTGAGTCGCCACTCTGCTCTCCCTTTCTTCCTCTGTCTCTCCTCGCTGCACTCGTTGAATGTCCTTCGTTCCTTCCCTCCTCCCCCTCCTCCCTTTCTGCCATCCCGCGCAGGTGGGCGTGCACACATAATGCATCGTGCCTTGAAAGTCTTGTGTGCCTTCCCCCTCCTTCCTGCCTCGTCCCCACACCTCCCCCCCACCACTTGGCACAGGTGGGCGTGCATGCATCGCGCATGGTGCTGGAAGCATTGTTGGACTCGTGTGCGGCTATGGGTGACCTGCCTCGCGCCCTGCATGTAATGGATGACATGGACCGCAACGACCTGCCGCCCACCGTCTTCACTCTCTTCCGGTGCGTTCTGCTCCTTGAGCCACTGCCATGAACTCACCATGTTAGACAAGCACTGCAATGACCTACCCCCTGCTGTCTTTGCACTCTTCCGGTGCATTCTGGTGCCTTTTAGAGCACTTGGGGACCTCTAGCTATACACGCACAGCACCCATTTTTTCCCCACCTTCAAAGCATGGCATTGGAACATAGGGACGTTGGGGCATTGGTGCTTTTCCTCTCTGATCTCGCCCTACCATACACAAGCCCTACATGTCCAATATCTCTCTCCCACACACCCTTTCCCCTTCCAGTCTCTTCCGAACGGCCATAACAGCGGAGGACGAGGATGCTGCTTGCGCTGCGCTGCGTCAGATGTCGCCCTCTGATTTGTCCGACGAGGACGTGCAGCTGCTGGTGCTTAAAGCCCTCGAGCCCTTCATCCGGGCGGCGGCTGAAGGGGGGGAGCAGATGGCGCTGGCCAATGAGACGCTGCCACGTGTCAGGGAGGAGGCTTATGTGGCGATTCTGAGAGCCAATGCGCTCAAACTGAGGGGCTTGGTAGGGAGAGAAGGGGAGGTGGGTGGGACGTGGAGAGACCGAGAGAAGGATGGGGGAGTGGGTGAGGAGATTTCTGAGATTCTGTCAAGGCAGCAGTCTCGGCAGTCAAATGAAAGCAAGACAGGAGAATCAACGTGAGAATGATTCTAGAAGATCACTGCTGTGACAAGGTTGTTTCGATCAACCCCCAGCGCGTTCCAGGACGATGGTACCTGGAAGGAAGGCTCGAAAGAAGTACCGTACCATAGCATCATCCTGTCATGCCATGTATGTACCGTAGCTTTAGTTGGTCAATTGCAAGCAAGCAACCAGTGGACACTACATGACCACTTCGTGGGTGGGGAGTCTCATTCAGGACCTTGGGGATGAGAGCTCCTACAGAAGCAGATCGGAATTCAATTCTCCTGTGGGCATATGGTATATTGATCTTTGCTCCTCAACTTTCTCTCCCTCCCTCCTCGTAAGGAGCTTCTCCTCACCTCCTCTTTCCCAACACCCTCAAGCTCATGCAATGCAACACAGACAAGACAAGTTAGGGAGTCTTGGAAACAACTCGAAACAGAGGTGGCACCGTAACAAAAGAACATATGTACACATGTCCTATAGCTGTATCCTAACCTCCGAACTAGTCAGTATGTGTCTTAAACTACTAGCTCTATTATGCACAGCCGCACACAGGGAGCACCCTGGCATGGCATAAAAGCAACCCTATATAAACGTAAAGCGTTGTAAGAGGTCTGCTGGCCACGAAACAGAATCGCGAAGCCCTGTAAACGGGCATGCAAGCAAGTCCCAGCGCTTGTTCTTGGTGTCTCAGAAACTCAACACTGTGCGTGCGCCTCCAAATCAGGCATTTCAGGCAATCCGCGGTCGCCTTGCTTCTCAGAATTGAAATCAAGACAAGGGGGAGCGATGCGGAACGCCCTTCCGCCGATGCGCGCGCCAGGGGGAACCGGTGCTGCCTTCGTGTTGATAAGCCAGTGGCGGAGTCACGGGGGAGAATACCGGGGATGACGCGCCCACCAGCTCCGGATACCGCAGAGACTCCGCGACATTCGCCTTGTCGTAGCGCACGCGCTTCCGCTCCCTCTCTCCGCCGCCCCTCCGCCAGTCCGCGGACACCCCCTCGTCCCCGTCCTCCTCCGCGCGCCCCTCGTCGCTCTCCCCGGAGCTCGCCGCGTCGTTATCTTCCACCAGCAGAGGGGGCAATGCGCGCTTGCGCCACTCGTTCCGCCAATCGCTCCCCCCTTCCTTCCGCCGGTGCCCCGCCGACCACGTCCCCGAGTCGTCGTCAGATAGCCCGTCCCCAGACCGCGCCGGCCGTTCAACTCCCGCGCTGGACCCATAATGTGCATGTCCCGCAGCCGGCCGCGCGGCGACGTGCTCCGCGGAGCCTCCCCCACGCGGGCGCAATGTGAGCGCGGGGTCGTGGCGCAATGCGGCGAGCTTGCATCCGATGGAGCAGAACCGGCTGGCGTCGAGCAATGTGCGGTTGCACGTGCGGCAGAAGAACGGCGCGCCCTTCACCACACGGGACTGCGGCCGCGGATTGATAAACACCACTTTCGCGCTGTTTATAACGTAGACCTGAATGTGGTGCAGGTCTAGAAGACGCGACAGCTCGCCGACGCGCACGACGTCGTGGTACGACGAGCGGCGGATTTGCAGAATGTCGTGCTCTGGACCGGAATGGTGTTTCTGCACGCAGAGCGTGCAGAGAGGGTCGCCGCGGCATTTAATGCAGAAGAAGTTTCGCTCGGATTTATGCGCCGCGGCGTGCTGGCGGCACGGAGAGAAGTAATGGCCGCTGAGGAGCTCTGGAACCCAGCTGGGGCACCTACTCGATGATTTTAATTCCGCCATTGATGCTAAGCTAAAACGGAAGAACGAACGAAATGCCGATGAATGCTGTGAATTTCGAAGTGAGTGCTAGAAGAAACTAGGAGCTGAATGCGAGGTAATGCGGTAGATTGGTAGCAGATAGTAAGCTGTTTCAAGAATTCGCAAATGAGGAAGAAACCCTGCAACAGTGGCTTTATCCAGCAGCACAGACTAGTAGGGTTTGACACTGGAGGAAGCAAGAGGAATGAGGAAGACGTAGGATCCAGCACAATGCACGTGACGTTTGGGGCCTCGGCTTCTAAAGCTTCGCGCAACTCCCTTTTCTCACCCTTTCGCTGTGCCCCATGCACGCATACACTTCGCCATTCACTCACATGTCTTTTCACCTCGTGCCCCAATTCGTGGCGTGCCCTCCCTCCTTCCCTTTCCCATGTGCGCCATTCCATTTCATGCGCCCACAGTGCCGAGTCGCGGTCACTTTCTTCGCTTCCGCCTCACGCAATTACATTCCCTGCCCAAGGCGAAATGTTTTGCTGTGGGTAGGACGAAAGCGTGGAGGTGACGTCGACTGGAAGGGCCGGCGGAAACCACCACCACGGACTTCGTGACATCACCTGACTGCTCGTTTCGCATATTTCGCTAACCCTGGTTTCATTTCGCTTGGTCTGGCTTCGACGGACCCGAATGGCCAACCTCCCCCTCGCTCGATCTATCTCGCACCTTCCGTCAGAAATGGACCTTCGCCGACCCTTCGGACCTGCGCCGATTTTCGCTGCCCTGCGGCGCGTCAACTCACGCGTGGCGCTGCGTCGAGAACCGGGAGAATGCTGGAATTCCCGTCAAAAGGCAGCTCAGCCAAATCTGTCACCGACACATTTTCAGCCCGCCAAAACGTATGGCGAGCGAGCCCACGCCAGGTGGAGAATTCTAGGCGGATTTGCGCCATGCCGTCAGCACAGCTGGCCATTGGCCGAGCCGAGCCATGCACGGGACAGGCTGTTTGAGGCTCAGAATTTGGCCACGAGATTCTCGAGACTTCCAGGACTTCCTCCTAGGGTAGGTGGCCAAATGTTCCTCGCTTAGAGAAGCCGCGGCTTTGATCACCACTTTGAGATTGGTTCATAGTAACTCTTGCAGCTAAAAAAAAACAAAATACATAATCTCAACAATCTCATTTCCTACCTTTGTGAAGCATAGCACAATATCCTAATCCCCTGGACAAAGCTTATCGCTCCCCTTCAGCGTGCTCTCTTATGCACCGTAGAATGTCCGACATGGTCACCACTCCCACAAGAATCCCTGATGAGTCATCCGCAACCACCCACACCCGATGCACGCGCCCAGCAATCGCTTGAGACATTACCACGCCTAGCCGAGAATGCTCCCGGCAAGTAATCGGCACCATAGATCTCGCCTCACACATGCGCGCAGGAGACGATGCCGGGGAATTTGATGCAAGGGTGGCGAGGGCGGGCGGAGGAGCGTACGGGCTGAAAGCGGCGGAGATTCCAACGTCTTGAGCGACAGAGAGAGTGGCGAGGAAGTCACCGACGGTCAAGCGGGGGAGAGCTGTGAGCGCTGCTTCCTCACTGCAGGCGCGCAGGTCACTGGCTGACAGTGTTCCCACCAGGCAACGCCCTTGGCCCTGGTATTGTGACGAGGGGGGTCAGGGAAGGGGGGAGAAGTGGATCTTGAGGGCAGCATGACAGCCAGCGGGGCAATGGGGAAGTAAGTAGGTGCACTGGTGGAAGCAGCTGCAGAAAAGGGAAGAGGGGAAGCGGCTAACGGTGGGTGCAGGCATACGCAAGGTAGAAGCAATGCACGGGGAGACTGTGCTCTGCAGCTAGCCTGGCATCATCACCAGCCAGCATGGGCATGTAAGTGTGACTTTTGAGAATTCTCGAAAGTCACCGACATGGCTGGACTGTGCAGCTAGCCTGGCATCATCACCAGCCAGCACAGGCACGTACAAAGACGAGCATGGGGTCATCAAGCTTGTCATCCGGTGTGGGTTCGAGCACTGCAACGGCAGCGACGGACGCCTGCTGCATGCAGTGCAACTAATGGCGTCCAGCACCTTCATGCTCGCTGGTTCTTGAGAGGTCCCAAGCTAGACCTTGAGAATTTCCTAACTGGTTTTTGAGAACTCTCATAAACCGACAAGCAGCAATCCGCCCGTACTTACAAAGATGAGCATGGGGTCGTCGAGCTTGTCATCCGGTGTGGGCTCCAGCACAGCCACGGCAGCCACGGACGCCTGCTGCATACAGTGCAGCTAATGGCGTCCAGCAAAATTATAGTCGACTCAAAAAGCAAGCAGCACGTACAAAGATGAGCATGGGGTCGTCGAGTTTGTCATCCGGTGTGGGCTCGAGCACTGCCACGGCAGCCACAGACGCCTGCTGCATGCAGCGAATGGCGTCCAGCACCTTCATGCTCGCTGGCACGGCAAACACCGTCCCATGCACTGCCCCCGCCTCCTTCACTGACAGCTGCAGCAGCTCTGCTAGGGTCTTGCCACTGCCCGTGGCTGCAGGAGGAGCAGCGGAGGAAGATGAGGAAGGTACAGGACTGGCGGTGCTGCCGCTGCTGCTGCTGGACTTGAAGTGATGGTGCTGGCCGCCTGTCTCCGCCTGTGCTTCAGCTATCATGAACTTTATCAGATCCACCTGCGAGAGAATGGCACAGTGCAAGCTGGATACAGTGTCACCGCAGCAGCACTCTTTCCCTCGTTATAAGAACACAACGGGCAGAGAAACAGTAAGTAAAAAAATAGCCTGTGTGATACAGGCAAGAAAAGGTATGAGTCGGCAAGTAAAATATCTCATGCCAGCTCCCTTGATTGATAGTTACCAGGTGAGAACAGGCAGGGGGTTGACAATGCACCTGGTTCAGGATGGTGTAGGCAGGGGCACAGCCGGTGGTGAGGAGGCCGCGGGAGAACCCCCCGTGAGTGGCAGCGGAGAGAGGCACGATGGGGCCTGATGGGAGGCGGTCTGCGGATGGCAGTGGCAGCAACACCCGGTGCACGCCCTTGCTCATTGGCTCCAATGAGTCGAGCACTCTAGGGAAGGGGTAGGAGGGAGAAGCGAGGAGAGGGGGAATCTGCATGTGTGTTACAAAGCACCTCTGCAAGCATGCAGCACCCAGTGCACTCCCTTGCTCATTGGTTCCAATGAGTCGAGCACTCTGACGAGGGGAGAGAGGAATGGGGAAACGGGAATGACGGATGGTCAGGAGTGGGCAGGATTGGGCACGAGGGGAGAGGGCGGGAGGGAGCAGAAACGGCAGAAGGAGGCAGAAGGAGTGAAGAGGGGAGAGGTGGGTACCGGAGAAGGGGTAGGGAGCGCTTACGAGAGGTGGAAGGGGAGGGTCCAGCAGGAGAGCCCTTCGAGGCAGTGGCCAATGAGCGTGGAGATGGGCACGTCGAGAGCCCACGTGGGGTCGTCGCGCGCGGACGACTGCGCGAAGTGCATCAGCACGTCGAGCACGCTCACCATCCCGATGTACTGCCTCCGCGCCCTCCCCGCGCCCGCTCCCCCGCTCGCCCCCGCCCCCGCGCCCTTCTCCCCCGCCTCCCCACGCTCCTCGCTCGTCTCTACCACCTCCGACCCGCCTGTCCCTGACCCTGCGCTTCCGCCCCCGCTTCCGCTTCCGCTGGTGCTGTCCGCGACCATGATGGAGGAGCCCCCCGCGCCCACCCACTCGTTGGGCGGAGCCCACACGGGCAGCGCGGAGATGCCGTGCATGCGCATCAGCTGCAGCGCATCGCGCACTGCCGCGCGGGGGAGTGGGGAAAGAGGGGCGCGGGGAGCGGGGAGCGAAAGCGATGACTGGGGGTTGCGGAAAGACTGGTGACGGTGCGGAAGGAGGGATCAGAGGAGCGGCCAGGTGGAAAGGTGCAAGAATGGCAACATTTATGTAATGCCACGCAATTTCGCGAGTCGTAAAATTAACCATGACGATTACTTTCTGCGAACCCGCATATGAGAATACATTTCGCATACCTGGCGCACTGTGCGGCACGTCCACCATGATGCCTTTAGCGCGTACGAGCTCGCCCACGGCATGGCTTTCAAGACATGCCTTTAACGACATGGCGGAAGAGAGGAATCTGAACAGATGAGGGACGGCTCACGATTACCGAAACTGAACAGAACTAGCGAAAAGTCACGTTAAAAAATAGCAATAATCAGCGTTAGCGCGAAGTTCCCGTTCGCATCAGCCACGGCTGGTCATTACGAGTGGTCAGCTAGCTGCTGTCTTGGTTCAGAGCCACTACTCACGACATGACTCACAATCACACCATAAATGGTCTGTCAATTTCTAGGTTCCGCAGTCCATGGGATGGAAGATCGATGTGAACATGATTCATGCCCTCCACGTGAAAATGGAATGTGGAAATTAACCATAACGCCGATGATATGACAAGTTCTGTGTTCGCAACGAAACTTGTAGAGTCCCGCGTTATGCTGATGCGAGGATGTGAAGGAAGTGATGTCTCGCGAACTCGCACATTGAAAAGCTTGGTAACGCAAATCGCCAGAATTCGACTGCCACGCCATCATCCACCACAGCTAGCCGCCCAAGTTCCTCTCGATTTGCGAAACGACAAGGCAGGCAAATTCTGCTGCAAGACGAATCTTTCCTGCTTGTCGCCACTTTCGCACGCAATTTCCAGCTTTCGCGGCTTGGGATGATCAGCCTCGGGATTGGCTGTGCCTCCCCCCTCCACCTGTCTGGCCCATCACAGCCGCAAATCCATCTTGCTGGCAGCCCTTCTTTCCCCTCCACGCCTCCTCTTCGTTCCAGCTTCAAGGTGAAGTTAGAAAGAAAGCTTTATGTGCTGGAGCATTGTAGGAAACGCATTATGCCTCATGCCATCTCACCTTCATGGAACCATTTATTTTGACTGGTTAGTGCGGAGGAGGTAGAATGGCATGAACCGATCGTCAAATCCCGGCTCGTTCCGTCCGTTTTTTAATGCCCGGCTTTGGCTCTCAGTCCAGCACGGGCGGATCATTCATTCCTGAGAATGCGCGCTGTTGTTGACAGTTCGTTGCGCTATGGCTTCACGCAGAACCTTCTAATCGTTTATCTTAAAACATAAATCTCTCTGAAAAGCATTCTCTTTTGAGAGGCGTTAGCAATGTCAGGAGATGACATGGAATCCGACGCGACAGCAGCGAGCGACAGCTTCTTCAACAGAGAAGGGAAGGGATTCCCCACAGCAGGACCCTCTCCCGAGCTATCGGCGTCATGGCCAAGCTTTCTCTTCTGGTCCTGGATCGCGCCGTTCATGCACTACGGCTATCGCAAAGTCGTGCAGGTAGCTCATCCCCCTCGCTTTTGGGTTGGAGCCTCCAGGATTGCGATAACTCACGGATTTGGCCTCGACAGAAACTGATTTAGGTCGCATGTTCGCGGTTAGATCCCGAGATGTCCGCGCGCTGTCGTGAATCATGGTAGACCTCGTGCTTTCGTATCAAGGTGTCCGTCCCAAACACCGCCGTTATGATTCTTGGTAGAGTACGCCGTCGCTCGGCTTTACTTCATCCCCGTCCTGCTGAATTCCAACCTGCCGCCCATCTATATCCGATCTTGTCGTTCGGCTGAGTCCAAACCTGTAGTCTTGCTCCATCTGTCGTCCTGCTCCATCCCAACCTGTCGTTCCGCGGAACCCGTACCTGCCAGGAAGACGACCTGTACGAGCTAAACCCGGTGGTGTCGACGCTGCAGAGCGTGGAATGCTGGAACCGAGAATGGCGCACAAAGCTCCACCTCTTGCGCTGACTCCCAGCCTGTGCCATCATGCTCCAACTGTCGTCCCATTTCCCCCAAACTTGACAGGAAGGCGACCTGTACGAGCTGAACCCGGTGGAGTCGACGCAGCAGAGCGTGGACTGCTGGAACCGAGCATGGCAGACAGAGCTCCGCCTCGTCCCGTTGGCCCCCAACCTGTGCCATCATGCTCCATCTGTCGTCCCATCCCACCCAAACCTGCCAGGAGGACGACCTATACGAGCTAAACCCGGTGGAGTCGACGCAGCAGAGCGTGGACTGCTGGAACCGCGCATGGCGCACAGAGCTACGCCTCGAGCAGGCGGACGCGGAAAAGACGGCGCGTCTGTCTCAGGGGGGTGAGGCGGGGAGGAAGCGCGGGAGGCGGCCGGTGGGGCGCGTGTGGCGGGTGCTGGCGCGTGCGTTCGGGCGGTACTACTTCATGGCGGCCGTGTGGAAGCCCATCTGGCTCGCCGCTGTCTGCACCCAGGTGCGTGCGCCTGCTCAGTGCCCTGCTCAGCCCATCCAGGTACGGCGTGCAGCCCCTCTTGCCTCAGTTTAGCCTTCCTCAAACGCCCGCTCGCCGTTTTTGTAACTTTTTCTTGATGGTGACAGATGCAACCAGGTGAACCTTCTTAAGGCTCACTTTAACCTTCTGCAAACGCCGGCTTGCCATTTTTGCAGGGCCATTTGCTTTTTCGGGTGTGTCAAAAGCTCCTCTTCTACCCTGTTGCTCTCCATGCAGGTGTACGTGCTAAAGCAGCTGGTGGCAGCAGCAGCAGCGCCAGAGCCGCCAGCAGCGTGGAGGGCGGCGCTGCTGGTGGTGGGCATGGCGGTGACGTCTGTGCTGCAGAGCGTGTGCATGCACCACTGCTTCACTCGCTCCCAGAAAGCTGGCATGCGCGTGCGCGCGTGTGTGTGCACAGTGGTATACCACAAGGTGTGTCCGCCTGGATGTGATGCGCATTGTTCAGACAAGTTAAGTTAACAAGACACGTTCATGTGATGTGCATGATTGGAAAGTGCGAGGAGATTGACAGTCTTTGTTGCACTTATGGAACCTGAATGGCATGTGCAGGCATTGGGAATGAAGCAGGTGGCTCTGGGGGAGGCGACATCTGGGCGCATGCTCAACCTCATCACCAACGACACTCAGAAGCTTCTAGACGCCATCACGTACTTCCACTATGGTACGCCAACCCCACCTTCCCATTCTTTCCCCGCACCAGTGTGACTGGCAGGGTTCGATCTGGCAGCCATCTGCTTGCCACCACCTCCTACCTCTGTCCTTTCTAGAAGATTGTTACATTCATTTCCTCCTCCTCCCCTCTCCCTCCATTCTCTCCCCCTCCCTCCATCCTTCTCTCCCCCCTGCGCAGTGTGGCTGGCAGTGTTGGATCTGACAGTCATCTGTGCGTTGGTGATAGTGGAGGCGGGAGTGGCGGCCCTGGGGGGCGTCGCAGTCGTCTTCCTCATCCAACCGCTCATTGTCAGTGCCGTGTTCCTGCCTCTCTCTCACGTGTGTCAATTAACACCAAGATTCTGTAATTGTCTCAAAACTCCCCTCAACGCAAGTTGTGTCTCACTTAGGATTATGGCGGTGCTTTGGAGTAGCTTTCCTGCCAGGCATGGAAGTGTGGCAGGCAGTCCTACTTGGGCTGCGCGGCTCTGAACTTCTCCCTTAGTACACGCTAATCTCTGACATGTGTGGATGGCGAAGAGGGTAGCAGCATTGCGCCCCAAGGCGCTCAAGTTCACCGATGCGCGTGTGTGACTGCTGGGGGAGGTGCTATTTCCCACACTGCTCGTCTCTGATCGCCTTCTTTTAGTGTACTCCAATCCCCTCCCACTTTCCAAACGCAGGTGTGGATGGCAAAGCGAGTCGCAGCATTGAGGCCCAAGGCGCTCAAGTTCACTGATGCGCGTGTGCGGCTGCTGGGGGAGGTGCTATCTGGCATGCGCGTGGTCAAGGTCAATGGCTGGACTGCCGCCTTCCTGGACCGCATCCGCGCACTACGAGACAACGAGCTACAGTGGCTGCGCCGGGCGGCGTACGTGCGATCAGTCAACTCCACTCTCAAGGTCGGTTTAGCATGGTTAGGTTGGTTATTGAGACGTCTCAACGAGCTACAGTGGCTGCGCCGGGCGGCATACGTGCGATCAGTCAACTCCACGCTCAAGGTTGGTTTGATTCGGTTTGGGTTGGTTGATAAGGGGTGGTGGAAGGATATTCTCTCTTGCTAGTGAAAAGCCTCCTCTCTGCCACTCCTCTTCTTCATGACTTCCCTTACTTCCTCGAATGGCCCTCTTTGTGACTGCCCTCCCTTCCTCTGTGTGCCCCATCTCCATCAGGATTCCGTCACGCCCCTGGCATCCCTAGCCACGTTTGGCATATACGTGGCAATAAACGGCGACCTGCCACCCCAGACGGCCTTTGCGGTGCTGGCGCTGTTCAGCATCATGGTGCGCATCTTCTTCATCGCACCCACTGGCCTCCAGTTCGCCGGGGAAGCACTCGTTGCTGTTGACCGCCTCGAGAAGTTCCTCGCACTGCCCGACGGGCAGGGCGGCTGCCCGGAAGAGACGCAGGCGGAGGTGGGTGACAGTAAGAGGGAGGGATGGCTGCTGGGAGGGCATTACCGTCTTGCTTCTGCCTTGGGGCGATACGCTGTTTCCACTCTCACATGTCCTGTCTTCCTCTCCCCAAACATCGCCCTACTGAATCCACCCCACGCCCCCCAAAACTCCACGATGTATGCAGCTGAAAGCAGAGGCGGAGAGCAAGGGCGTGGTCGTGGCGCTTCAAGATGCCTCCTTCTCCTGGCAGCTGCCGTCCACCACTGCCCAGCAGCTCCCCTCCTGCATAGAGCAGCAGCAGGGAGCAGAGGGGGGCAATGGGAAAGGTGCCAGAGGGCTGTGGAGGAGAAGGCTTGGCGCTCAGAAGGCGCGGGAGAAGAGGAATGGAAGGAGAACTGTTGGTGCTGTTCAGCCAGACTGCACGCAGGGAGAGGGCACGGAAGGTGATGGCGAGGCGGGCAAAGAGAACGGCTTGCAAGAGGGTAGACAGAATGATGTAGAAAAGGGGCAACAGCAGGAGGGCGAAGGGGGTGGTTCCTCTCCTGCTATGCCTGCTACTTCTGCCAATGCTGTCGTTACCACAGCAGATGCTGCTGCTGCTGCAGGAACAGGGTTTCACCTGGAACGAGTGACTCTGCGAGTGGAGAGAGGCGCAGTGGTGGCAGTCACAGGGGCGGTGGGCAACGGCAAGTCGTCCCTCCTGCAGGCAATACTGGAGGAGATGCAGTATGTGGGTGGCGCCATGTGGGTGAGCAGTCTGGGGAACGTGGCGTATGCAGCGCAGCAGCCGTGGATTCTCAATGCTACGGTCATGGAAAACATTCTTTTCGGGCAGCCCTACGACGCGGGCAGGTACCAGGAGGTGGTGCGTGCGTGTGCGCTTGACCGTGACATCGCTGCCCTGGCCGCCGGGCACCAGACAGAAATCGTGAGTGACTTGTGCTGAGCCACCCAAGTATACCATTGAGAATCTCTTGCTACAGCCTGCTACCGCAGCTCACCGCTTGTACTCCTAGACAACCCTCTTCCTTGTGAATTCTTTCACTTCGGTGTCATTTAGGACTTTTGTTTATTTACCCATCTGTCATTTCAACCCCTCTTCCTTCGTCTCCCATCCCCTCTGCAGGGCGAGAGGGGCATCAACCTGAGTGGGGGGCAGAAGGCAAGGATATCCCTTGCCAGGGCGTGCTACAGCAGCGCTCCCCTTGTGCTCCTAGACGACCCTCTAGCCGCAGTGGATGTGCCTACAGCGAAGCACCTTATAGAGAACGTGCTTCAAGGAGGGGTCATGCAACGCGGTAACCGCACGGTCGTGCTCGTAACGCACAACCGACGGTCGCTGGACGCATGCTCCCAGGTGCTGCTGATGACACATGGACGGCTGGGATTGGCCGGGAGCCCGGAGGAGCTAGCAGAGGTGGGTGCGATTAGCGGGAGGGAGATGAAGAGGGTGAGGAGTGTTGAAGCCATGGCGGCGGCTGCTGCTGCTGCTGTGGAGGCGGTGCCTTCGGCTAGATATGAAGGGCGGGGGGGATGGGAGAGTGGGGAGGGTCTGGAAGGTTCAGATGGGAAAAGCGTGGGGGAGGTGGATGGGAAAGGCTGGGGGGAGCGAATTAGGAAAGGGGAAGGAGGAGGGGAGGTGTTGGGGGAGGTGGGGAACAGGGAGGTGGTTCAAGGGGGAGGGGAGAATGGAGAAGGGGTTGGAGCAGGAGGTGCAGGCGAGGGCAGGGAGGGCGGGGCATGTGAAGGGCAAGAGGCAGTGGTGGTGGATGCGAAGTGGGGAGAGGATTTGGAGATGAGAAGAGAGGAGGCGGTGGTGCAGGATGGTGCCCAGAGGGAAGGGGAGAATGCAGAGCATGGCGTTGCTCATGGGATGGCCCATGGGATGGCCCATGGGATGGCTCATGGGGTGGCTCATGGGCATAATGGGGTGACTGACAAGGAGTGTGAGGGAGAGAACGGGGCAGTGACTGGGGAGGGGGATGGGAGGGAGCAGGCAGTGAAGCTGACAGAGGGGCAGAGGGAGAAGCGGGCGCAGTGGGGGCAGCGGAGCATGGGCCGTGTGACCATAAAGGAGGACAGAGTGGAGGGGCAGGTCACTCGCGCCACCTACTGTGCTTACATCAAGGCTGGGGGCGGGTGAGCTCCTTACCCTTCCTACACTGTCTTTTTTCCCCCTCTCGAAACTGTAGGGCGTTCTTTCATCCCTGCTGCTGCTCGCTGACCATGACCATTGCTCTCTGCAGCACTGTTCGGTTCCATTTTGCTTGTGCTGTGCCACCTTTCTCCCTCCATCTCGACGGTAACTCCCTCTACAGCTCCTGCCCAATCTTTTTACCTCCTTGTTTTGAATCTTTTCAAAATTCTCCCGCCATCTCTACGGAAACTCCCGATTTTTATCCGCCTGCCCCTCTTGACCCGCCCCTGGCCGCTCTCAGCTTCCTGCTCTTTGCTGGGCTACTGCTGGCCTTCATGGTGGCACAGACAGTGCGCACCCTCGTGGATTACTGGCTGGGCGTCTGGGTCGACCACAAATACTCCCTCTCCTCAGGTGGGTCGACCACAAATACTCCCTCTCCTCAGGTGCATTTTGGTTCAAATGGCTTGCGGTTCAGTTGAAATTCAGGTAGAACAAGCACTAGTAATCCCTCTCCTTCAGGTGCGTTCCCAGTTCAGTGTGCTATTTAAAACCCACTCACAAGGCACCCGCCCTCAACTCACTACCTGCCCTCAACACACCACCCCCCCCACCAGGGTTTAACGTGGGCATGTATGCAGTGCTGACAACAGGCGCCATTGGGCTGCTTAATCTTTGAACTCACTCACAAGCCACCTTCTTAAATGCCCTATACTCCCCCCTTCTTTCCCCTTGCCAGGTCTCTACGTGGGCATATACGCGGTGCTGACAGCGGGAGCCATCGTGTTATCGCTGCTGCGGGCCTTCTGGTTCACCCATGCTGCCCTCGCTGCAGCACGCCACATGCACCACCTCATGGCTGTGCACGTGCTGCGCTCGCCACTGCTATTCTTCGACCAGGTGGGCATTGATTCTAGGTGCTGATGGTGCTGATGGTGCTGATGGTGCTGATGGTGCTGATGGTGCTGATTGTTAGGCAATGCACGGAATCCCACATGCACCACCTCAAGGCCGTGCACGTGCTGCGATCACCACTGCTGTTCTTCGACCAGGAGCGCAATTAGTGCTACGCCATGTCATGTCTGCTTGTTCCATTACCCCATTCTCTCCACTGGAAGTTATGCATTAGTATGGGAATGTTCCGTAACGCCCCCTCTCAACTCACCTCCCCCCCACGCACTCCCCGTCCCTGTGTGTCCTCTTCGTGCTGGCAGAACCCAGTGGGTCGAATCCTCAACCGGTTCAGCAAGGACCAGTCTCTCGTGGATGACCTGCTGCCAACCACCGTTCAGGTATGCAGCATGCGCTGTGCCACTGCCACGCACTGCACTCCCTCTCCCCCGCACTCCTCTCCTATCCCCCCCCCCACCCCCTGCTCTTTCAGCGATCTTGACACTTATTTTTGTTGCTGTAACAATATTCCCTGCTTCATACTATTTTCGCCAATTCTCCCCTTGCCCCTCTCTCTTCTGCCCTTCTCCCTCTCCAACTTTCCCTCCTCCTCCCTCTCCCTTCTCCTCCTTCCCTTCCGTTTTCCCCCCTCACCAGCAAACCATGGAGCTATTTCTGGGCTGCGCTGGGGCCATAGCAGTCACCGCAGTGCTTGTGCCCTGGTTCCTGCTGGCACTCCCGCCGCTGCTACTGGTCTTCTCGCTGCTGCAGCGCCGCTACCTGCGTGTCTCCCGTGAGCTCAAGCGCATCGACGGGCTCTCGCGGTCACCTATCTACGCTCACTTTGCTCAGAGCCTGCAGGTGCGTGGCGGTTGTAGCCTGCAGGTGCGTGGCGGTTGTAGCCTGCAGGTGCGTGGCGGTTGTAGCCTGCAGGTGCGTGGCGGTTGTAGCCTGCAGGTGCGTGGCGGTTGTAGCCTGCAGGTGCGTGGCGGTTGTAGCCTGCAGGTGCGTGGCGGTTGTAGCCTGCAGGTGCGTGGCGGTTGTAGCCTGCAGGTGCGTGGCGGTTGTAGCCTGCAGGTGGGCGGTGTGCTGCTGGATTGTGCGCCGCTAATTGCGGGTCTCCCGCGAGCTCAAGCGCATCGACGGCCTCTCCCGTTCGCCCATCTATGCTCACTTTGCTCAGAGCCTGCAGGTGCGTGCGTGGTGTTTGCTGGGCTTTAACCTGTCTGTGTGTGGTAAGCCGCTTGTCTGCGAGTCTCTCGCGAGCTCAAGCGAATCGACGGCCTCTCACGCTCGCCCATCTACGCCCATTTTGCACAGAGCCTGCAGGTGAGTGGTGTGTGCTACTGGATTTTAGGCTGAAAGGTGGTGAGTGGTAAGAGTACCACCTCTCACACACATCATAGCACTCATAGACGCCAACAACCGCGCTTACATCCATTTCGTGCACACCCCTTTTCTCTCGCTTACAGATAACTCTATATCTCTCCTTCTCTCACCCTTTCATCCACACCCACACAGGTGTCAGTGTGTGCATACGGTGCAGCACCTACCTTCCTCCATCACTGGATAGCACTCATAGACACCAACCACCGTGCCTACATACAGTTCGTACACGCCCCTTCTTTGTCTATTACTTACACCCATCTCCCTGTCAACCCCACTGCAACCCACACAGGGAGTGGTGTCAGTGCGAGCATACGGAGCAGCCCCAGCCTTCCTGCATCACTTCATCGCACTGATAGACGCCAACCACCGCGCCTACATACAGTTCGTGCACGCCGGCCGGTGGCTCGGGATCCGCCTGGACCTCTGCGCCTCTGCGCTCGTGACACTTGTCGCCATCCTAGTGGTCGTGCTGCACGGCTCCCTGCCCGCCGGGTATGCTGGTGAGTGGTGGTTCGAACAGTGGGCACCATGCAGTGGGCAGTACAGGGGGGCAGTGGGAGAGGGCGTGGGGTGTGTTCATCCTAGTGGTCATGCTGCACGGCTCCCTGCCTGCCGGGTATGCTGGTGAGTGATGGCTCGAACAGCAGTGTTTGCACCATGTCGCTGGCAGTGGGCAGTGGGCTTTCAAATTTTAAGAATGTAAACCCCCCACCCCGCTTCCCCTTCCTTCCCCCTCCTCTTCTCCTCCCCTTTCAGGTGTCATCCTTGTGCAGAGCCTGCAACTAACAGGCCTCTTCCAGTATGCCATCAGACAGACGGCAGAGAGTGAGAACTACTTCACCTCAGTGGAGCGCCTCCACGCCTTCATGCAGCTGCCCTCCTTCCCCCCCCGCAGGTGTGATTCTGGTGCAGTCCCTGCAGCTGACAGGTCTCTTCCAATATGCCATCAGACAGGCAGCAGAGAGTGAGAACTACTTCACCTCTGTGGAGCGCATCCATTCGTTCATGCAGCTGCCCTCCGAGGCCAATCACCTCTCGCCACCTGGCACGCTGCCGCCAGCCTGGCCGGACAAGGGGCGAGTGGAGTTCTGCCACGTGTACATGGCGTATCGGGAGGACCTGCCTTATGCACTCAATGACCTCACCTTTACTGTGAGTGCTGTACTGATTCAATTCTTGACTTTTGCACGTCTTCCCCTCTCCTGGCATCGCTCCCACTCATCCTCTTCACTTTCACACAATACCCTCCTACTGTCACATCCGGCCAATCTCATCCCGCCAGGTGGCGGGCGGCGAGATGGTCGGCATTCTGGGCCGAACGGGGTCGGGCAAGTCCAGCCTGGCAGCCGTGCTCTTCCGATTGGTGGAGAACAGTCGCAGCCGTGGCCACGTCAGCATAGACGGCCTGAATCTCACAGGCGTGGGGCTGGACGACCTCAGGCAACGCCTCTCCATCATCCCCCAGGTAAACCGGCTCTCTCTCTCTTGGTAAGCTCCATCAACCCCCAAGTTTTTTTGCTCTCGTGAGTTCTCCTGATCTCCTCTAACTTCCCATGTTCATTCAGCCTCCACGCGTTGCACTCTCACTGTCTCGTCTCCCTCCTCCCTTGTCACCACAGCCCTGTGGTGTTTTTGGGCCGTCTCACAATCGCTCCCTCCATCTCTCCTCCCTCACTTGCACCCCAGGACCCGGTGCTCTTCCAGGGCAGTGTGCGGCAGAACCTGGATCCCTTAGGTCGCTACTCCGATGCTGACATGATGGATGCACTCAGGCGCGCACACCTCTCCCCTCCCAGCTCGCATTCCAACCTCTCAGCAGCACCGCCATCATTTTCTCCTCATGCCAACGGCGATGCAGATGCAGGAGACAAGAACAGCAACAGTGCAAGAGACGGGAATGTTGGTGTTTATGACTCTGTTACACTGCTCAAGGAATCCCCGTCTCGTGGTGCCTCAGCTCCCACCACAAGGCTGCGTCCAGTCACTCTTGACATGGATGTCTCGGAAAATGGGGAGAATTTCAGTGTGGGGCAGAGGCAGCTGCTCTGCCTTGCACGCGCTTTGCTGCGGCAGTCCCGAGTGGTGGTGCTGGATGAAGCAACCGCAGCCGTTGATGGGGAGACCGACGCGCTAGTGCAAGCCACAGTTCGTGAGCAGTTCGGCGCTGCAGGCATGCGAGCCACAGTACTGACTATAGCGCATCGCATCGATACGGTTATTGATGCAGACAGGGTGCTGGTACTTGCACCTGGAGGTAGGGTTGCGGAGTTTGACACCCCAGCAAACTTGCTGCGCCAAGGGTTGGACGAGAGTGGTGTTAAAAGGGAGAAAGGGGGGTCGGTGTTTGCTAGCATGGTGGAAAACGCCGGACCTGTGGTGGCAGCTAAGCTGTATGAGGCAGCTATGGATGCAGAGAGGAGGAACAAACAAAATTGATGCTGCACATTTGAAAGGTGCTTCTGGTAAGCATTACTGTATCTGATACGGCGTATCACATTCTTTGTACATATCAGCGTTACATCGATCACACTCCATACAGAAAGATATGTTTTTACCAATAAGAAGAGATGAATTGGTGGATCTAACGGAAACAAAGTGTTATGGTGAGAAGGTAATTTGGCATAAAGTGAACAGTTGTACAAACACATTGGCTGGAATTACAAGGTCAATGTTAGCTTTCAGCTTTCAAGTGCAATATGCACAAGTATACATTGAAGAGCTCAGTAACTACCGTAAACGCCCGGATATAAGACAGTGTTGAATAGTAGACAGGGGTTGTCTACTATACGGGTGTCTCTTATAAACAGGCTAGCCTCATTATAAGACACCTATTTGTGTGTACGAGATAAGACATATGTGTCTTATAATCGAAACTTCAATACATTATAGCGAAAGTTGAAATAACGCGTACATTTTAACCCTTGCGAAGCGCGAATTTCTCCACGCGCGAATTTCTCCTCTGCAGGTGTTCTCCATGACGTGGCGTCCCAGGCAGTGGTTGCCGAAGTGGCACCTTCGCAACATCCACACTCATTATGAGGAACTCTTTTTCAAGAAGTACGGAAAATATTTCTAAGTAGTTTAAAAAGTTTCCATTTATAAGATTTATAAGACACCCTGAAGCATCCCGTTTACAAGATAACGTAAGCATTTTTGCCCGTGTACGAGATAAGACATATATGTCTTATATCCGGGCGATGACGGTATACCATAGGATGCTACAGAACATCTTCATGTCCTAGAGGTACCTGCAGAGCACAAAAAAAAGTGTTAGTATTCAGGCTGAAGATGTAAGCAGTAACTCTAGAGCAATCAAAACGACTCACATGGATAATGGCTGAAAATGGCCGCTGAAGGCATGGCGACAGGCTGCTGAAGGCATAGTGGCAGGGTGCTGAGGCATAGCCATCCTCCCCCACCACAGGGACTGGTCTACCCTTGGAGTCGCTAAACCCAAGGCATGCAGGGACCCATTATCACAGACTGAAAATGCCGATACAGAGCTGCTGCAGTCAGCTCTGTACCAACAGAATCAGCCTGCATGGCCCGGATCCGGGTCTTAAGACAACCCCAAGGGTCCCTCAGCGCCATGCCTTCGCATGCCTTCATGCCATTTGCCATGCCACAGGTCGCCACCTCCAGGTCACCTGCAGGAGGACAAGAAGATAGTCAGTCCTCTGCCAAAGCATGCAAGAGCAAAGAAAGCGTTGAATTCAAGTGCTAAAAGGATTAAAACATTACCTTGAGAGTCTTCAGATCCTTAAGTACTGGACGTCAGTAATTATTGAGCATCTTCAGTGGTGACATCTGTTGAAACTCTCCCATGTTGAAGAACCTGCAGGATGGAAACGTAAATGTTAGTCAATGTGTCACAACGTTAAGCTGCTAAAAGGATAAAAACATTTCCTTGAGAGACTTCAGATCCTTGAGTACGGCAGTGGTTGTTGAGCATCTTGGGTTGTCAGGTCTGTTGAAACTCTCCCGTGTTAAAAAACCTGCAGGATGAAAACGTAAATGTTAGTCAACGTGTCACAAAGTTAAGGTGCTAAAGGGATAAAAACATTACCATGAGAGACTTCAGATCCTTGAGTACTGGACATCAGTGGTTGTTGAGCATCTGACTTGTGATGTGATGTCTGTTAAAACTCTCCCAAATTGAAGAAACCTGCAGGATGAAAACGAAAATGTTAGTCACTGCGTCACAGAATGAGGCTGCCAAAAGACTGAAATCTTACCTTAAGGGCCTTGTTTCGCCTCATGCCTTAGGCCATCATTTCTTGCCAGAAATGATAGGATTTGCCTTCAGATTACCTGCAAGAGGACAAAACGAAGGTCAGCTTCCAGCCAGAATATGCAAGATTGGAGCAAGTATCCAAACCAAATGCTAAAAAATATAGTAAACTTACATCGAGAAACTTCAGATACTTGACCGCTGAATGAAAGTGACTGTTGAACACCTTGAAGTCGCTAAACCCAAGGCATGCGGGGACCCATTATCATAGACTGAATCTGCTGATACAGAGCTGCTGCAGTCAGCTTTGTACCAACAGAATCAGCCTGTATGGCCCGGATCCGAGTCTTTAGACAACCCCAAGGCCTTCTCAGGCCTTCATGCCACTTGCCATGCCACAGGCTGCTGCCTCCAGGTTACCTGCAGGAGGACAAAAAGATAGTCAGTCCTCAGCAGGAGCATGCAAGAACGAAGAAAGCATTGACTTTAAGTGCTAAAAAGATAAAAACAGTACCTCGAGAGACTTCAAATCCTTGAGTAGTGGACGTCACTGAGCGTTGCGCATGTTGAGAGGTGATGTCTGTTGAAACTCACATGTTGAAAAACCTGCAGGATGGAAACGGAAATGTTAGTAAAATGTGTCACGAACTTAAGCTGCCAAGAGATTGAAGCCTTACCTTAAGGGCCTTGATCCGCATCATGCGTTAGGCCATCGCTTCATGGAAGATGCCTCTTGCATTCGCCTCCAAGTTTCCTGCAAGAGGACAAAACGAAGGTCAGCTTTCAGCCAGAAAGTGCAAGGATGCAGCAAGTATAAAAATCAAATGATGATATGATAGAAAACTTACGTTGAGGAACTTCAGATGCTTGACTGCTGAATGTAAGTGACTGTTGAGCACCTTGAGTGTACGTTGACATGTTGGCGGACCTGCAGGAAGAAAGCAAAAAAATAGTTAATGTCCCAAATATTTGAATTGCCAAAGGATTGAGGCCATACCTTGGGGGCCTGCGATCTTGGGATATGAAATATTGAAGCCTTGGGATATGAAATCTTGAAGTCTTGGGATACGAAATCTTGAAATCTTGGGATCTTCAAGTGTTGACAATCCTGAGAGGTTGGCGTTCATTGAAGGCCTTGAATGATGAGGAATCTGCAAAGCGAATCAAGGGAGGAGAAGGAGTGAATGAGTAAAAGTGTCACTCCAAAGGAGCAAGTCATGTGTGAGCATGATGGATGAAAAAAGCAGCAGCATGAATGCAAGAGCGTTCACCGCTACCACCAAAAGAGCCATAATACCAAAAAAAAAACCTTGTGACCTGAAAAACCTTACCAAAAAAGGGGGAATAGCTCTAATGGTGGTAACAGTAAGCGCTAAAGCATAAACGCCATGCAGTGTAAGGCGGAAATGTGATTCATGGCTTGAAATAGCAGAAAGATGACAGAAAACATGAGGAGAGCGGTACTTAGCTTTTCATAAAGTCTTGAGTTGTTGAGCAGCGTTGGCCTCAGAGCTCAAACACGAATTGAAAGGTTGGCTCCAAGTGTTCACTTCACGACTTCAACGTTGACTGGAAGTGTTGAAACGCCTTGCAGCTCCGATGCGGTTGATGAAGTTGACGAGCATCTGCCGATCAAATGAGGGAGGAGAGGGGGTAAGTACAACTGGCACTGGAAGGTCCAGACGGGAAAGGCAGGCATATGCATGATGAATGGTAGGTATGGATGCAGATGCATGCAGCAAAAGCGCTCACCACCACAGCCACGAGAACCAAGTACCAAAAGAATACCAGAAGAGAACCTAGGGACTCACCAGAAAGGGGTACCTTAAAAAAACCTGTACCTTCTAAGGGGGGTGGTTCATGCAGCAATTGTGGTAAGCGCTCAAGCATGATGAGCATGAAAAAGCATGACAAAGATGAGTAGGAATGTAGTTGAGCGGAACAAAGAGGGAAACGATACTTATCTGCACGAGGGGTTGCATGTCTTAAGTCTTGGTCGAAGCCTTCACTCGGAAATTGTCTTGAAAGTCTTCGGTTGGAGGATGTCTTTATTGTCTTGCCTCCCAGCGTTGCCTTCAAGCTCATCCACATAGAGTTGTATTGTTGAACGCCAGCCTTGTTGCGTGGGCTGCTCCCAGTTGATAAGAAGCATCCGAAGAGTACCTGCCAGCAACAAAAAAAAAAATTCAGTTGAAGTAGCAGAAAGACGCCATAAAGCTACAAAAGCGACGAAGTAATGCAGGGGACGGGGGAATGTTTTCCAGCCAAAGAAACCACACCGCAGAGCTCAGACAGACCGACGCAACTATGCTTGACTTAGCGACGCGGACGCTAGACCGATCTAGAGAGACTAACCCAGACATAGGGGAGGAGACAGGGAGCTCTACGGCGGCGCTTTGGCTGGAAAACAAATAAACAGCACGAACGAAATTGAAAATGGAAAAAAAATCTTTGATAATGGTGGAAGGAACACTTAGCTGGAAAGTTCAACAGCAGGCCGGTGAAGAACTGAGGATGGAGAAATCCATGCCCTTGAGAGAGAAGAAGGCTGGACGATCGCGTTGTCACCGTCGGATGGATGCTGTAAAGCGAAGGCTGAACGCCTCGGAAAGTTGACGACCGTCTTCATCATGGCTCACTGCACAATGTAAGAGTAATTTAGATCAGTACAGGTTATGTTGTCAAGCCACGAAATCATTGAGCTCGTTGGTGTACACGAAACTGAGAAAGTGAAGCTGTATCTACCTTGAGCTGGAAATCGGGATGCTTAAGCAGCTTGCGGATCGTCAACAGGTTCCGACTTGCAATGATAGAAGCTGAAGGTCGTGAGCTCGGACAGCCCGAGCAAGTTGCAGTTTGAAACGACGGAGGTTCCACCTTTGAACGAGAAAACGAGTTACGCGGACAGAGATTGAAATCGCGGAGGTTGAAGAGCAAAATGGAGGAAGTCAGCGTTGCATTGGAGAAGATGAACTGCTGTTTTAAGATGAGTTCACGGATTGAGAGACAAGGAGCATCGCCTACGAACCATTCCCACACGGAGTCGACACGGTTTCAAGCAGCGACCGTTGAAATTGGCGCGAGCGGCTTCTACGGGAACACCTAGGAGGGCACCACCTTGGTTGAATATTGGCGGTGAGGTCTTGGAATCTAGTAAGAGGCTGATGAGGCAGAGCGGGGATGTCAGCGAGAGATGGATGTGTGGAGTGGGTGTGTCAGGTCAGGAAGACAATGCCGTGGGAGCTAGGGTTTGAGGATGGATGGAACGCAGTTGAGTCGTTTGGCGAATTCTGCGAAATTCTGAGAAATCCAGGTTTCACTGTTTTCGCACTAGCAGAAAGCTTCGTCAAGCCGATTCGTGATGAAAGTTGGCACAACAGGGAAGCATCATGCGATTGGTGCGATTATCTGCTTGCTCTGGTTTCTCGCAAAAACCACGCGGGGAATGCCGCGGGAATGCCGCGCGGAACGGTGAATGGGGCGCAGAAGAATCGCGAGCTGATTGGTGAAGAAAGTGCGCTTCTGTGCAGGGATGGCGCGCGGGGCGAAGCGCACTGGGCAGCGCGGAGCGGAGTACACGGCGTTGTGCAAGCAGCGCGTGTACAGCAGCCAATTCTTTCCAGGCAAAGAAACAATACAGTATCACCAGAGCCCTACATTGCGTTAGAGAACCGTGAACCCTATAGCGAGGACTACTCCTGAGCAACAGTCCGCTTGTGAGGATGCGTTCTTTCATTTTCGGGACCTCTCAAGCTGTACTGAATGTTTCTGACTTCCTGCCTGGGAATCTGCACCCAGGCCACCAAAGCCTCTCTGGTCTTTCAGCTTAAGGGGGTCTGCCCCTGCCCGGAAATCGGATGCGAGTAAACGGAACGCGCCCTTGCAACGACATCTCATCTCGTCCCTCCTACCACCGACCCACCAACACACCCCTCTTGTTGCAACTCGCAACTAGCATGTGATGTGATGGGATGTGAGGCGGCGGTCTTGTTTTGCGGTGGTGCCACACTGTCCTTGCAGAAAGCAGACGGTTCTTGTGCCCCCATTTCTGCTCGCTCACAAATCTTGGAACCAGAGGCTCTTTCGGAACGCTGTTCACCGTCGCCTCACCTCACCTCGTTTCTTTCTGTACCTACCACAGTCTTCTTGTCCTTGCGAGCCGTGCGGGTACATTTCTTAGCTTTGATATCACTGCGTGGTAGGCCGTCCTCACCCATTTCTGCTCCTACGCTCCGCTGTACATGGTCGTTCTTCCGCGCTTTCAGTCACGCACGTAAGCCACACTGAACCATGGAAGACCTTAGCTTCGCAGCGTTGTGCGACGACTTTCCGCAGCAGCCGTGCGGCGAATTTTTGCAGCAGCCGTGCGACCGGCTTAGCGCGAATCTAATGGACCTGCTTCAGCCGCCCCTCCTTCCGCAAACGTCGCTTGACGAATTCGACCCATCGTTTCAACGAATCGACGGCTGGCCGTGGCCTGGGAACAATCTGGACGGCTCGCAGCAGTCCTGCGAGATGGATTTAGAGTTCGACGCCGCAATGGCTGCGCTGCTGGCGGAACCGGCCGTCAGAATACCCTGCTCCGCGCCAGAACTCCGCGAACTTGTGCCATCAGCGCAAACTGCTTCCGCGCAAGCCTCCGCGCCCAGCGCCGGCGCGTCTCCGGGAACTGGATGGCGCGCGCCCGCAGCAGTCCTCGGCGCAGCACCACCAAGTGCCGTTCTTCCGCCGAAGCCCGGCGCAACCGTGGCGGAGGCTTTTGCGCTGGCAGCCGCGGGTGCAGCGGGCCTGGCGCGAGCGGCGGAGCCTACAGCCGCTCTGGCGGAAGATACCCCTCCCCCCACCGCCACGTCAGGCGGAACTAGCACAGGACTTAGCGATAACAACAGTTTAGGGTCTGAAGCGGTCACGGCTCCGCTACCAGGAGAGTATACAGACGCGGAGATGCTGCTGACGATGGTTAAGAATTCTCAGAATCCGGCAGCAGCAGAGTATACAAACGCGGAGATGCTATTAGCGATGCTGCTGCTGCAGCAGCAGCAGCGCGCTGGGAGCCTCATGGGAGCAGCAGGTAGCAGTCTCGCGCAGGCAAATGTGCTTTCTACAGCAACCGCCGCTGGTACTAGCGGTCGTGATTCTGCCGGTCTACATGGTGGCGGTAGTGGTGGCGATGGTGGTGGCGGTAGTGGTGGCAGTGGCGCGCAGGCAACTGTGCTTCCAGCGAGCAACGACACTACCTACAATCGTCCTGCTGCCGCTCTGCATGGCGGTGGCGGTGGTGGCGGTGGCAGCAACGGCAGCGTCACGCTGCATCCGTTCGATGTCATGCTGGGGATGGACGGACAGGATCGTTTGGGGGGAGCAGGAGCAGGGCGAGCAGCAAGAGCAGGGCCACCAGCAGCAGCAGCCGTCGCAGCAGCAGCAGCAGCAGCAGCAGCAGAAGCAGACATGACAACCGGAGCAGCTGATGTGGATGGCTCTTTATCGGATGCTGCAGTAACGAGGCTTTTGTTAGAGTGGATAGCGATGCAAGACACGAGTGCGACGGGCACAGGCCCCGGAGACCACCCCCTGCAGTTCCCCCACCGCCTCTCGCACCACCCTCTGCCCCAAATGGCCACACGAGGCGCTTCCCCTCTCCTTCCGCCATCTTCCTCCTTACCCCTTCCGCCATCGTCCTCCCTACCCCTTCCGCCATCGTACTTCCTGCCTACCGCCGTGTCTGCTCCTGCCATTATTCTCCCGCCAGGCTCTCCGCGCGTTCCCCCGCTCACTCCGCCGCCTGCGCCCCAGGCCATTTCATCCCACCCTGTTCCCCCTGCTGCCGCTCCTGACACTGTTCTCCCTCTAGGCTCTCCGCGCATTCCCCTCCCCACTCCGCCGCCTGCGCCCCAGGGCATTGCTCGCGGAACGGACACTGGCGGAAGTGCTGGCGGAACGGGTACTGGCGGACGTTCTGGCGGAACTTACACTGGCGGGATTGCTGGCGGAAGCTCTGCAGCAGGGGCCATGGGTGTGGGTACGTCCGGAGGTGCGGGTGTGATGCCTGCGGGTGCAGGGGAGGCGATGACGTTTGAGGCAGCAGCGCAACAGCTCTTTCTTGCCACTGCGCCTGCTGCGCTAGGAGGGAGGCGGGGAGGGTGGGCAGACAAGGGGGGTGCATGTGCGGCGAGAGCATCAGAGGCTCGAGGAGCGTTGCCCTGTGCTTCTGTGGCGCTCTTGCAGGAAGCTGCTGATGGTGATGCTGCCGCTGATGGTGATGTTGACGGAGATGATTATGGTGTTGGTGATGGCGTGGATCCCACAGGTGGTGCTGCTGTGGTGGAAGGAGAGGAGGAGCAACGAGGCCAGCAGCGGAATATGGAGAGCAGCTATGGGCCAGGCGAGGGCAATCACCGTGGGCAGGCGTTGCTACAGATGATTGAGGACTTGGAGCAGCAGCAGCAGCAGCAGCAGTGGGGCACAGTACGAGCAAGTGCACGAAACGCAGCAGCAAGAGCATGAGAAACAGCAGCAGGAGACCAGGGGGGTTGCGGCGTCATTGGGGGGGTTAACGAGTGTGACAGTAACGAGGGCTCTGCGTGAACTGGGCGTGGGGGATAGCAGCAGCGGAGTGGTGCAGCAGGTGCGGAGGTTGCTGGAGGCACAGAGGGAGGAAGAGGAGCAGCAGCAGAACCAGCACGAGCAAGTGCAAAAGCACAAGCAACAGGAGCGGCTCTTACTTCTGCGTTATTTACAGCAACAAGTGCATCAGCAGCAGCAGCAGCAGCAGCAGCAGCAGCAGCAGCAGCAGCAGCAGCAGCAGCAGCAGCAGCAGCAGCAGCAGCAGCAGCAGCAGCAGCAGCAGCAGCAGCAGCAGCAGCAGCAGCAGGCATCCAGCCAGGCAGTCACCCAGACAAGTGCCAAAGCGAGGCCATACAACCCGCTTCCAACCCCTGTACCACTGCCCATAGATCAGGTGGGCGGAGTGAGGGGCAGGGACTGGGAGCACTCGGGTGTACCCTCTTCGCCCTTCAAGCAAGTGCGAGTGCATTCCCAGGTGCATTCTCAGGTGAATCCCCAAGTGCAGCCCAGCAGGAGTAAGGCGTCCCTCACCACGCAAGCTCGCCGCACCCCTGACCTGTCAGCACGTCTGAAAGGGCTCCTGGGGGTGATTACCACCTCCTCTCCTCCGAGCAACCAATGCCGCGCTGCCAGTTCAGCAGCACATGCGGCAGGAGTGACGTCAACAACAGGAGGTTTGGCAGATGCTGTGGGGAAGCGTGTGGCAGGGGATATGGTCTCAGGTAACCCTGCTGATGCAAGTGCCGCTGGTATGGGCTTGGGAGCAGGCTTGCGAGCAGGCTCGGGAGTAGGTTCGGCAATAGGTTTGGCGGTTGATGCAGCAGCAGGTAAGCACGGTGCGGGTCTGGCAGCTGAAGCTGGGAGCACAGCAGAGGGAGGCGAAGATGCTTATGTGGAGGAAGGCAGGGCGGGAGACGGAAATGTGACTGTAGGAGGGGGTGCAAGCGCTGCTAACAGCATGGCAGCTGGGGGGACGGTCGGAAGCGGGTTCTTTGGCGGTGCGAGTGCCAGCCTTGGTTCTCAGAGAGACACTCAGTATGAGCGATGGACGGAGCAGTTGGGGGTGCTTCTGGAAGCAAGTGGGAAGAACGGAGGGAAGCAGCAGCAGGAGCAGCAGTGGGGGCAGCAGGAGCAGTCGAATCAGCCGAAGCAGCGGCGCAAGCGGGGGGGGATGAGCGTGGAGCGGCAGCAGGAGGAGGAGAGGAGGCAGGAGAGGAAGCTTCTTCAGAAAATGCTGCAGGCTCTGCCTAAAAGGCAGGCGCATCAACGGCTGCTATTGCAACAGTTGCCGCTGAGACAGCAGCTGCTGAAGCAGAGTGGTAGCAATACTCCCAGCAGCAGCCATGCACACAGCAGCACTGGCAGGCGCAGCAGGAACAGCAGTAGTGCTCTCGAAGCTCCCTCAAACGCCATTTCAAGCCCCAGTCGGCCGCTGAAAGTGGATGTTTCTGGGCTGCTTCCTGGCATGGTGGATGGCGGGAAGGAGAGGCACCTATGGTCGCAACTGTCGGCTCTGGCTGAGGCTCTCACCACCGAGGACTCGGTATGTGACACAATCCCACTAGGTACATGAGACAAGCCCACTCTCAATCACTCAGCACTGGCCTATTCGTCCCCAATCACTCTCAACCCTGAACCCCTGCGCCCACCCGGTGCGGTGGCGCTACTTCACTCGGCAGGCGGGTGTTTGTCTCCAGTCGGTTTTTAAGTCTCAACTCTGGCGTTATTCATCGCCAATCACTCTTAACCGATCCCCTCTCCGCCCCACCAGGTGCGGTGGCGGCACTTCATGCGGCAGGTGCGGAGGGAGGCGGCAGCAGGAGGGGACACGCTGCAGCGCATCGCCTTCCACGCACTCCAGGCACTGCGGGCCCGCACCGACGGCTCCGCTATCCAGCAATTCAACACCCCGCGTGGTATCTCCGCCGAGGTCAGTACGGCTCTGCCGAAGTGAAATTATTTCTCTTTGCCAAGGCAATCATTGGTCGATGGTGTCTGCCTACGCGTGTTTTTGGCAACGGCACCGCCGTTCAGCATTTCAACAGCCCCCGTGCTGTCTCCGCAGAGGTGAGTGTTGTTCTCCGCAGAGGTGAGTGTTGTTCTCCGCAGAGGTGAGTGTTGTTCTCCGCAGAGGTGAGTGTTGTTCTCCGCAGAGGTGAGTGTTGTTCTCCGCAGAGGTGAGTGTTGTTGTTTTCCGCAGAGGTGAGCATTTCTCTCTGCCGAGGTGAGTGTTACCCTCTTCAGAGATCATGGTTTGTCTTTCCGCCAGTACAGTGCCTTCTCACTCTCCAGCTGAGGTAGAACTGTTGTTTGCAGATGTGAGCGCTCCTGCGTGCTAAACTGCTGGCAGCTGTGTTGTGCTCTGAATCCTTTTTTTTTTTGGGCCGTTTCTCGCTGTCACCAGGGTATCATGGAGCTGATGGGCCACGACAGTGCTTATAGCGTGCCATCCTTTATGGAGTACAACTATGCAGCACAGGTGCAAGAGATAACCCGAGCCTTCATAGAGTCTCCCGGTAATGCCGCTGCATCTGCACCAGCAACAGCACTAGAAGCAGCTTCAGGAACTTCAGCAACAGCAGCAGGGGAGGCAGCAGGGGAGGCAGCAGGGGAGGCAGCAGGAGAGGCAGCAGCAGCAGAGAAGGCAGGGAGCGGGGGGCCGAGCAGGAAGAGTCGGGTGCGGCGGCGGCGGCTGCACATCATATCGCTGGGATTCTACCCCGGGCCCCAGTGGGTCAACATCCTCATGCGCCTCTCCGCCCACTTCTCCCAACTCGCCACCGTCCCCCCTGCCCCTGCTGCTGCTGCTGCTGCTGCTGCTGCTGCTGCTTCTGCTGCTGCTGCTGCTGCTGCTGCTGCTGGTGCCGCTGGTAATGTGCCTGCTGCTAATGATGATGCTGCTGCTGCGGCATCGGTGGCGGTGGCTGTTCCATCTGAAGTCACGCCTAGCACTGGAACTGGCACGAGAGCCAGCAGTGGAACTGGTACCGAGTCGGGCGCAGCCAGCAGTGGGAGGGCTGGGAGCAGCAGCCAAGGCAGGGGCGAGAGTGGGCAGGGAGCGGGTGTGAGCAGCTGCAGGCAGGGGATCAGTAGTGCAGTGGGCTCCACGTCTGCTTCCCCTGCTGCTGCTGCTGCTGCTGCTGCTGCTGCTGGTGCTGCTGCTGCTGTCCCCTCCTCCTCTCCCTCTCCTGCCTCATCCATCACTCCCTCGGCCTCCCCTCCCTCCACCAGATTAGCTGCTCCTACTGCAGCTCCCACTTCTGTTGCTCCCTCTGCTGCAGCATCATCTGCTGCGGCATCCTTTGCTGCAGAACCACACAGAACTGCGTCCCCTGCGGCACCGCCCTCCGCAGCTCCCTCTCCTGCACCTCCTACCGCAGCAGCAGACGCCAACACAGGCACCAGCACACGGGGATGGGAGCGACCATACCCATCGGCCCCCACCCCGCTGCTCAAGATCACAGCCGTCGATTTCAACACAGTGAAGCTCGCATCTCAACGGACAGGAATGGTCCATCTGGGCGGTCGGTACCTGGAGCAAGTGGCCAGGATGCTCGATCTCCCTTTCACCTTCCAGGGGGTCGAAACCGCCCCAGAGGATTTCCACCCGTCAATGGTGGAAGTGGAGGAAGGGGAGGAGGTAGTGGTGCTAGGCAAATGGTCCCTTCACCTCTTTCCAGACGACTCGGTCCTGCGGTCGAACCCCCGAAACGCCATTCTCAAGTGGATTTTCGACCTCTCTCCGCTGCTCTTCCTGCACGTAGATCTCGACGCCGATGCCAACGGGCCCTTCTTCCTCCCGCGCTTCCAGAACGTGGCGCGCAACTTTGCAGCAATCGTCGAGTCGCTGGACACGAACCTCCCGCACTCTGCTGCGCCCCGGCAGGCCTGCGAGGCTTTCCTGGCCCATGACATGGTGAATAGTGTGGCCTGTGAGGGCACGCACCGCTGGCTGAGGACCGAGCGGCTGGAGCAGTGGAGGAAGCGGGTGGAGGCCGCAGGGTTCCGGCCGAAGCCGCTGCATGCGGAGACGGTGAGTGCGATGCGCGTGGTGACAGAGGGAAGAGATGCGCGGTTTGAGCTGAAGGTTGATGAGCGGTGGTTTGGGGCGTCTGCGGAGCTGAGGTGGCGAGGCACACCCACTGTGTTTGTAGCCGCGTGGCACTGACAGAGACAGCGGCATGTGGGAATGAGAGTAGTTTAGTGGGGAGTCTGCGGAGCTCAGATGGCGAGGCACGCCCACTGTCTTTGTAGCCGTGTGGCACTGACAGGGACAGCGGCATTCAGGCATACCGGTAAAAAGTAGTTAGTGGGGAGTCGGCGGAGTTGAGGTGGCGAGGCATGCGGACGGTGTTTAGGCCGCGTCGCACCGACTGGGGGAGTCACGCCCACAAGGTGCCTCTTGACTCTCGTAAAACAGTGCAGTGGGCGTGGTGGGGGAGGAAGGGGGGGGGGGGGGGGAGAGGGGAGGGGGTGGGTGTTGGCCTTGGGGCTGGCCCTGGCTGGCTGGCGGTAGGAGACAGGTGCTGGAAGCTACCATGATGGAGACAGGTCTGCTGGGGCCGTGAGTCTTGATCATGGAGGCCCTGCCAATGTTGGAACTTGTTAGCCTTGTGTACAGTTAGCAATACCTACCTTGTGATGCTGTTAGTAGTTAAATTTGCTGACTGTACATTCAGGAGACAATATAGGGCTAAGGGCATACCGTAATATACATGGCCAGCAAGGCCAGTTTCAACACATATGCCAGAGAAGAGCAGCTCTGGTCCAAACCAACTAAACCTCATGAAGCTGGCCCGCAAGTCAGGGAGGGCATTCATCCACCATGCCCCAGTTGTTAGCCCTCCAATTGCCGTTGCACAGCCCCACAGCCACTGTGGTGCCCACTATGCACTGAGTGGTGGAGACTGGTAGAGAGCTGGAAGGAGGTGGTGATCACTGTGAGGGCGGCAGGGTGAAGCTGGGGCCACGTGTGAGGACTGCATAAAGCAGCCCAGAGGCAGTACCAGCGACAGGGAGAGTGATCACCCAGCCAAACCCCGCAATGGCCACCATGCCCCAGTTAATAGCCCTCCACTTGCCGTTGCACAGCCCCACAGCCACTGTGGCACCCACAATGCACTGGGTGGTGGAGACGGGTAGAGCGAGGAAGGAGGCGGTGAGGACTGCGAGGGCCGTGCCTAGTTCCATGCAGAAGCCGCGCGAGGGCGAGTGGTATGTGATGTTGTTGCCCAGGTTGCGCATTATGTTGTACCCGTCTGGATGGGTCGGGGGGAGTGTTGGAAGTGGGGAGGGAGGGCAGGGAACGAGAGAGGGGATCACGATGAGAGGAAGGTGCCATGAAGAGAAGGCAACTGCAGATGGCGGCAAGGACGAAAGGAGACAAGGAAGAAGTAGAGATCGGTTACAAGGGGTAAGCAGCATGCAGGGTACGCAGCAGGACATCCAGAGAAATATGCAGAACATGCAGAGGGATATGCAGCAAGTTATGAAGGGGGGCAGCAGGACATGCAGGGGAATATGGAGCAGGATGGCTTACAAAGAGCAAGGCCGAGGTCGATCATTATCCCGGCATTGACAAGCATCCAGTAAGGTATGCTGGCATGGGTGGAAAAGGTGCCCGTCTCCCACAGCTGATACACCCCTGCCAGGGGCCCCAGTGACCCAGCAACATCATTAGAGCCATGGGAGAAGCTGGCAAAGGAGGCAGTCACCACCTGCAGCAGCGAATAGAGGTATTCTGTCTTGTTGTCGTACAGGATTGCCACCTCGTGCGCGCGAATTGCCCCCCGGTTCTGCCGCTGCACAGACACGATATCGATGTAGAGAGTGCGCAGCAGCAGCCATTTGATGTGGTGCGCGAGTCGCACGACAAGGCTTTTGTGCTGGCTTTTTTGCCGCTCCCACCGCTCCTCCTTACGCTCCTCCTCCTCCTCCTCGTCCTCTGCAGGCATCCCGAGCTCTGTTCTTTCCTCGTCGTTCAGCAGCTGCGGGGTGAAGGTTCGTTTCAAGTATGTGTCGATCTTGGTGTCGTGCGGCTGCTCCGGCAGCCAGTGGATGCAGAACACGTGGTACCACCTGAGGTTCTCCTCCTTCTCCAGCCGTCGGATGAAGAACGGAACGAGGAATCCAACGGAGAAGATGAGAGTTGCGCCTGTGATAGTCCCTGTGATGGCAAATGTCAAGCCGATGTTGCTGCTGTTATGTACACCCTCCTCACCCAGAAATCCCCACCGGCTGTTTCGGGAGAAGACGTAGAAACTGACGATGAAGCTGGTGATGGTGAAGTAAAAAGGAACGGCCCAGATTCCTGCTCGGAGGGAGTTTCTCCGACTCATGACACCATAGAGCGTGATTGTGTAAACCGCTGCTGCGAGGACGCCTGCTAGGCAAGGCGCTAGGACCCAAGATGTTGCGATCTGCGCCACACCCCTACCCTCCCACCCCCAGTTCACCGCGTCCTTGCCGTACGCGCTAATGCCGACTCCGATAAGCGCACCGATGATAGAGTGCGTGGTAGAAAGGGGGAAGCCCAGAATAGACGCGGTCATGACCCATGCCGAGGACGCTATTAAAGCGCACATGAAACCTGACATTAGAAGGTCTGGCCGGCTGCTGAACATGTTGATATCGATTATGTCGTCCTTGACTGTTTTGGCCGTTGTAGCGCCAAGAGCAACCGCTCCGCCGAATTCAGTGAAGAAGGCGATGCAGATGGCTTGCTTGAGGGTAAGAGAGCGCGATCCCACCGACGTGGCGAAGGCATTGGCGACGTCGTTCGCACCTGCGACAGCCGTTGCGATGAATGATAAGCTAGTCTGAAATCGTCGCAAAAGAAGCGAGCGAAAGTGGCTACAAACAATGTAAACAGCAGCGCATAGCATGCTCACCGATGGAATATCCGTCGAGGAAGGAGAATATCAGGGTTACCACGAAGATCCACGTGTACGAATGGATGGGCATAACAACGGTCGCCATATATACTAGCTAGTGATTGCTAATTTGCAGCTTGCTCGTTTCCAATACTTCCGTGTGATTTGCAGGACCGACCTGCAAGTTTCTGATAGTACCAATTCTAGAATTAGAACTTGCAGCGGTAGCAGGGCATGGTAACAACTCAGCTACTAATTAGTGACTTCAGGCTTGAGAGTTGAGGTATTAACGTGAGACATAGACATCCAACAGTTATAGACTGTGCATGACAGTTATAGAAGGTGCAGTGACAGATGGCATGACTGACAACTGAGCTACTGATGCTTAATCCGCAAAAGGAGTGCTAGAAGAAAACCGTGTGGCTTGCACGAACAATACGGCTAGAGGTTGCAGCAGGAGCAGCCTGAGAGCCTGGCCTGACCAGCGGCAGGAGAAAACAGAACCAAGAACCATTGTTTAGGCGAACCACCTAGTATCACAGAAGGATTGGGGGAACGTAAAGTACGGAGGGGGAAGGAGGTGCGAGCTAAGAGAACAGGGAGTAGCAGTGAGCAACTGTATGGCTGGATTCGACCCGTCTCATCAGCGTTAGTCAACGGTCAGTGACAGGAGCAGGCATTCTGATTTTTTGATCCACTCCACCGGTCGCCCCGCGATGATGATAGGAATTTCTCGAGAGCCTCGCGACTAACGATTCTGTTTCTGGGGAGTTTCTGAATCTCGCCGCCATCCCTCTCATCGTTCTCACCGACAGCAAGTTTGGCGAGACAGAGGTTTCCAAACCATATCCATCCTCTCAAACCGTTTTGAATACCGCTAAGTCTGTTTTACACCCCTTATCGAACCCTCGAAGTTGCCAAAACCAATGATGCTTGCTTTGTTCGTTGATTGGTTGGTTGAGCCCAGCCGTCCCCCAATCCCCGACCAACTTCCCCCACCGCCACACAGCCAGCTGTTCCATTCGTCCATGACATGTTTGGATCCGCGATACCACAAATCTCTGGTTTCGTTGAAGTCTTTTCTTTGGCATGAATAAGGTTTACCGAATCTGCTTCCGTATTGATCACAAGTAGTTATTCCACCCCAATTGACATTTCTCCCACCTCATCCAACAAGTCAGCCCACCGCGCAGCAAGAGAAAATAGGGCCACTAAGGTCCCTTACTGAGAAAAGGAGCGCTGCTAGTAACGACTGGTTGTGTAGGTTCGTTCCTTTGCCTCCTCTCCCCGTCAGTATTAGGACGCGGTCGTCAGCCCTTGTCAACGGTTTCCGTTTCGTTGTGGGACGGCTGCCGTTTTTTGCCAAAAAGGTTTGAAACGTTGATCGAGAAGCCATGATGAAAGACGCCCTGAAGAAGACAAAAGTGGTGGTGCGCAAGCTACCGCCGAACCTTAAGGAGGAGTCATTCGTCGAGGCGCTAAATAAGAAGTACCAAGGCCGCTACAACTGGATAATGTTCTACCCGGGAAAATCATCGTACGTCTCCAGACTCGCACACCCATACTTCACCCAGCTCTCCAGACCAACTTCCACATCCTCTCTTAATCGGCTCCATCCCCGGTTGGCGTCTTATCGCCTTTCTCCCATCATCTTCGCAACCATGTTTTAAATGCAACCTCGCATCGCCTCGCATCACCTCGTCGCAGGGCGAAGAAGGCGGCGCTCTCAAGGGCGTACATTAACTTCCTCTCGCCGGAGGACGTGCTTTCTTTCTCCTCCGACTTTCACGGCCACACTTTCGTCAACGAAAAGGGTGAGTTTCATGTCCACTGCCATGTTTGCTTAGGTCTGATTTCACGTGACTAGAAAGGACATTTTTCTAATATTCTATGAGAGGAAGAGGACCTTTAAATCCTCTCTTTTCACTTCTCCCATTCCCGCCTGTCTCATCCACCTTTTGGCTGGCACTGCAGGGCAGCAGTTCCAGGCGACAGTGGAGTACGCGCCATGGCAAAAAGTCCCCAGGGAGCCGCAGAGGAAAGACCCCAGGCAGGGGACTATAGAGAAAGGTGACTCTGAGACAAAAGTGATTTTAGTGGAGGGTGTCTTGCTGTGTGGTAAGGCACTCTGGGATTACTTTGAGCATTTTCGACGGCTTTTCGCGCTTCCAAAAAACACTTGTGTTGTCAAATTTCCGCCGTTTCACTCCTTAGGATGCATCCCTTGGCATATTTTGATCTGGCATTCCCTTTTTTCCCTTAACATCTCGCTCCCCCCCAATCTCCCCCAAACCCCGCCGGCCTTGCCTTGCCACGCGAAAGCAGGGGGGGGGTGGGGCAGCCTTCCGTAATCCTGCAATTGGCTCCTCCCTTCTCCGCTCTGGGTTCCACTCTCTCCCGCCACATCTCCCCCCCATACTTCCCCCACATCTCCCCCCACATTTCCCCCGCAACTCCTCCCCCCCGTCATCTTCCCCACATCTCCCCTCATCACCTCCACCTCTCCCCCCACTTTCCAACCCCCTTCCCTCTTCTCCCTCCCCCAGACCCCGAATATGGGCGTTCCTAACAGCGCTGGAGCAGGGCGAGGAGACCGTCCCTTTGTTCTGCAGTCCAATCCTCCCCTCTTCCCTCCACAGACCACTCTCTCCCCTCCGTCTCCCCATCTCCCCATCCCCCCCACATTCCCCCCCACCTCGCCCTCCCCCAGACCCTGACTACGTGGCGTTCCTGGCAGCGTTGGAGCAGGGCGAGGAGAGCCTCCCGAGCGCAGAGGTGCAGCTGGAGAAGGCAGACGCTGCCAAGGCCGCTGCTGCAGGTGCGTGCGTGTTGGGTCGCTGCTTCAGGTGCGTGTTTGACCAGGGGTGAAATAAGCACTCAAAATGGCCGTGGGGGCGAGGAGAGCCTTCCGAGCGCCGAGGTGCAGCTGGAGAAGGCAGACGCCGCCAAGGCCGCTGCTGCAGGTGCGTGTGCCGTGACTCGCTGCGTCAGGTGCATGGGCCATGCTCTCACTTCGCTTGTTCCTAGTGCTGACGCTTCTGGTTGAGTATGTGTGGCAGAGGCACGCCAATGGGCCTAGTCCCCCCCTCTCGCCCCCCTGAGCCCCTTCCCCCCACCCACCCCACCCCACTCCAGGAGTGAAGGAGCCGTTAGTGCTGACGCCCCTGGTGGAGTATGTGTGTCAGAGGCGCGCCAATGCGCCCATTCTCCCCCCTCCCCTCCTCTTCCCCTTCCTCCCCTCCCCCCAGGAGTGAAGGAACCCCTGGTGCTGACGCCCTTGGTGGAGTATGTGTGCCAGAGGCGCGCCAATGCGCCCATCCTCCCCCCTCCCCCCCTCTTTCCCCTTCTCGCTCCCCCAGGAGTGAAGGAACCCTTAGTGCTGACTCCCCTGGTGGAGTATGTGTGCCAGAGGCGCGCCAATGCACGGACAGGCCCCCAGGCTCGTGTGGTTACCAGCAGGCCCACTCGTCCTGTGGGCGCAGGGGGGGAGAGGGGGGCTGCGGGGCGGATGGGGGGAGGCGCCGGGGGAACGCATGCCTCCCCTGCTGCAGGCAGTGGGGCAGGCCGTGGGGGTGGGGGTGGGGGAGGGGGAGGGAGTGGGGGAGGCGGAGGGAGTGGGGGAGGGGGAGGGGGCAAGGGGGGAGGCAGGGGGGAAAGAGGTTCACGTGCAGGTGGGCGGAGTGGGGGAAGGGGCGGGGGGGCTGAGGGAGGTGGTAAGGGAGGGGGGGAGACAGGCGCACCTGGGTCTCAGCCTGCTAGTGGAAGGGAGAAGGTCGACTCAGCTGCTGCTGCTGCTTCTGGAGCACACGTGAGTCGACCCTGGTTCTGCATGAACAGGCGCCACAACATATCTATCTGAATTAACATCTTAAAAGCAATTGTATTTAACACCTGATCCAGCACCTCAATCTACCCCTGAGAGACACCTATTATCACCTGTATTATCATCACCACATGCCCCGTTAATATCATCACATGCCCCCTTCAATATCAACTCATGCCACTTTCATTATTATCACATACCCCCTTCATTTTCATCACATGCCCTTCGTTACAGTCACGCTCGTCACGCCGTCACGCAGCTGATCTGCGGCGCAAGAGAGGCGGCACCAACAGCACAGGGACGCCCAGTGACGCCCACAGGGAAGAATCTCGGGCCGCTCCCTCCCCTTCCTCCCTCGCCCCTGCTGCTGCAGCTGCTGCTACAGCCGCAGTCACCTCTGCTGCAGCCGGTGCAGCTGGTAGCAACACTGCAGCTGGTCCTGCTGCAGCTGGGGGTGCGTCTGGCAGTGTGGCAGCAGGCACTACAGCAGGCGGGGTGCCTTCTGGTCGGACAGGAGGGGTGAAGATTATCACTCGGCAACACGCACAGCCACATGCGCAGCAGCAGCAGCAGCAACAGACGCAGCAGCAGCAACAACAGCAGCAGCAGCAGCAGCAGCCACAGCAGAGGCAGTATGGGCGGGGAGGAGGCACGCAGGCAGTACAGCAGCAGGCACAGCAGCAGGCACAGCAGGCGCAGCAGGATCGCCAGGCACAAGGAGGGGTAGGAAGCGTGGCAGGTGAAGCAACAGCAGTTGCAACCAAGGCTGACACTCCTGCTGCCACTGCAGCGGGAGCACCTGTAGCAGCAGGAGCAGCAGGAGGAAGAGCAGAGACAGCAGCAGCAGGAGGAGGGGCAGCAAGGGAGGCAAGGGACAGCCGAGGCAGGCTGAAGAACCGGGACCGACCAGACCGACCCGTGTGGACGCCCAGGCGCCGCCCAGATGTGGGAGGGGGCGGTGCTGCTGCAGGGCAGTCTGGGGGAGGCGGTACTGGTGGTGGTGCTGCAGCTGCTGCTGCTACTGCTGGTGCTGCTGGTGCCGCTGGTGCTGCAGCAGCCTCTGCAGCAGCGCCCGCTTCTTCTTCTTCATCTGTTCCTTCCGCCTCTGCAGGCCCTGCTGGTGCCGCATCGGCACGTGCAGCTGCGGCATCAGCAGCACCAGCAGCAAAAGCTGCAGGGGCAGGAGGAGCAGGAGGAGCAGCAGCAGGAGCAGCAGCAGGAGCAGCAGCAGCAGCAACGCCACAGTCAGGAGCCACAGAAGCAACCATGCCTGCTCTTCCCTCAGTAGCAGCAGGCGCTGGTGCTGTGGGCAGGGGGGGTGGAGGACCAGGGGGGTATGCAGGGAGAGGGAGGGGCGCCAATGACTATGGCAGAGGAGGTATGCACCAATCCGGTTCAAGCAACTCAACTCCTTCATTTTCTGAACATTGTTAGATTTCTCACTTAGACACGCAAATTAACGCCCTCGCATCACACACCGTGCTAACCGTTTGTGTGTGTTGCTGCAGGGCGAGCGAGCGAAAGGGGGAGAGGGGGAGGGCGGCGGGGGGGGCATGGGGGAGGAGGGGGGAGGGGCTACAGCGGGTCAGGCCCAGCAGGAAACGAAAGCCAGGTACTTGCCTGCCTTATCCCGTTTCCTTCCCCCGCCCCCCTCCAACACCCATATACTGCATTCATCTTTCTTCACTTGGCTTGTCAAAAATGTCGTTTCCTCTGCTTGTTCCCCAACCCTGCACATACCTTGCTCCCTACCTTCCCCCACCCTGCTTTTTGCCTTCTCTTTTGTTCTTGTTGCGGCATTTCTGCCTTATCCGCCATTCTAACAGAGGCAGGTTTGGGTGGCAGTTCAGAAACCAAGCCAATCGACTCAGTAACAGCAGATCGTATTGGAAGATTGTTTTTGAGAGCTGTGGCTCAACTCAAGCACATTCAATCTGTGCTTCAGATTGTTTGTAACGAAAAAATCCTTCAGTCCGATTGGAGATAGCAGAGGGCTGATCTGCGCGCTCTGATTTCAGCAGGGTAGAAACAACTCTACACTTTTGAAGAAAGGGTGGAAAATCGTCCATCCCTTCTGCTCAGACTCAGTTTTCAAGCTCCTTGTATGACATTCAAAGAACCGTAAGTTTCAAGCTAAGCACCATAGCACGATGCCAAAAGGAATTTAGATGAAGGGGGCAACAAAAAGGTGGAACGAACTCCACACGAGGGGGTTGTTAGTAGATTAGCTTACTAGTAGATTGAGAGATACATAAATATGTATATTTTTCACAACGGAGCATCTATATACGGTAGGCAGTCTAGACTGTACTGAGCAGTTGCCATCGGAGAGAGTCTGGTCTCAAATGCTCCTGCTGAACCTTTGGGGCGCCTCAAAAGCCATCAGCAAAGAGTCTGGTCTCAAATGCTCCTGCTGAACCACAATAACGCGCCTCTAACTAAGGGGCCTTTTCCTTTTCCTTGAGAACAAACTTGCGCAAGCCAGGGAAGTGAACGTGGCACAGATAGTGGGTCCAGTTGATGTTACGAACGTTGAAGTTGAACTTGCGCTGCTCTTCAGGTGACATTGCAGAGAATAGGTCTTCCATGTTGCTTGAGTCAAACCTGCATGCAAGGCAAACATGCAACAGGCAACACACGTGGGCAAATGATGTGATTGGTTGTGCATGTGTGCTCATGAGTCGACTAAAAAGCAGAGAACAGGTCCTCCATGTTGCTCGAGTTAAACCTGCATGCACACGTAAACAGGCAACAGGCAACGGTTGGGCGAGTGAAACAGACTCGCGACGAGGCAACACACTAGGTGGGAAATGCTTTGACTGTGCATGCAGGGGTTGACTGTGCTGTAGGGAGGGCAGTAGGGAGGGTAACAAGGTTGATAACTTACAGTGCCTTCTCGAAGCAATAAGGCATGTACAGCTTAGCTAAGCGCTTGTATTGGTTGTGCCTCTTGGTCAGTTTTGCAGCCTGCTGCTGCTTCTGTGCTGGTCCATTCCTAGGGTCAAGTGTCACCAACTGCAACACAATTGCGCACAGGTAAGATGATTGAGTGAGGTGTGGTGGGGTGGTGAAAAAAAGGCCAAATACTCACAAGAACAAAGCTGGACAAGAGGGGGCGTTACTCACAAGCCTGGGCAGTTCATATTGAAACCAAATCGCAGCCATGAAGAGCGCGGGCCATGGAAAGGCTATCATATTGGACACGGAGATTGCAGTCCCATCCTTGCGCTTCATGGGTTTGGCAGCAAAGTGCTTGGAGGTGGCTGCAAACAACCCGCTGAAGCACAGCGGGTTGGTAACTGATGATGTCACGTGGTACACATGCGGCAGATGGTGCTTGGACGAGTTTTGAGACGTCTCAATAGGCAGATGGTGCTTGGAAGTGGATGGAATGGAAGTGGATGGAATGGCACTCCGTGGTGGCTTTGCATTGTTGGCAGAAACGGCAAGGATAGCGTTGGCTAGTAGGTCCACTGGAATCTGCATGCAGGAGACAGTCGGGACAAGTAGAAAGTAGAAGTACAGGGTTTGCTTGCTGCTGCTTACACATGTGGTATGTGGTTCACAGGCACATCAGACAGAGAACAAAGAATTAAGAGGGGACGGGCAAGTGTAAGACGGGTAAACTGTCAACGGGAGTTGGGTGTTGGCCCCGTCCTCGCTTGGGCGGAGCCGACTTCGTGGTCGGGTGTAGGGTGCAGCCGACCTGCAGCAGTGGGCGAGTTGGTCGATGAGGTTGGTCGACCTGCACGGGGAGCCACTGCATGGGCGCCGACTTCAGGAGGGCGCCACCTTTGGCTGGTCGACCTGGGAAGTCGACCAGCCCTTCTGGTCGACCTGGGAAGTCGACCAGACCCTCTGGTCGACCAGGAGTGACGTCGACCTAGATCTGGTCGACCAGGGAGTAGTGGTCGACCTGGGGAGGTCGACTGGAGGTGGCCGTCGACTTGGGAGGTCGACCGGCACATACCGGAGGCAGTGGTCGACCTGGGGAGGTCGACTGGAGGTGGTCGTCGACGCACAGGAGCAGCTGGTCGACCTGGTT